CAATTTGGAAGGCATATTACCAAAAGGAAGCAGTGATACATGATCAAGTTTTGGATGATATATTGATACTATTGTTTGAAAGGAGAAATAAATCAGTCAATGGTAGTACCAAGCATATGTGTCGTACAGTTGATTCTTTTTTGGTTACGTATTCTTTTTGTTCTTCTGTTACTTTTTATGCTTGAGGACTGTTATTTTATGATACTATTGAAAGTCTTGATATCTTGGAACATTTATAGTTTACCTTTCTAAATTTTCCTTTCCTTTTGCACACTGTGCTAACTCAAAATTTCTGAAAGAAAGTGGTCATGCATGTTGTTGTTGGCATTGCCATTTGAAGGATTTATTTCTGATATGGTATAGATTTTTCTTCTGCAGACTGGGGACCAAAGATTGATGTTGTTGGCTTTTGTTTCCTTGACCTTGCATCTAGTTATGAGCCACCAGATTCACTTGTTGAATGGCTAGAAGGTGATAAAAAGCCTATCTATATTGGTTTCGGTAGTCTTGTGAGTTTTCTTCTACAAGTCTTCCCATCTTTTGGTTATTTATTATCGTGAAAGATTGTAATGGTTTATTTTTCTTGTACAATTTTGACTTTTTTTTTTTTATCGAACTCTGTCTCTAAAACTAGTTTTCATGAATAAATGTGCTTCTCTATTTCATTACCTTATGATTTTATTGATAATTTTAATAATTAGAATTGTTTATGTGGTATTAACTTTACTCTCTCCAGAGAATTTAGTGCATTTAACTCTTTCTATGTCATTTTAGTGTAAAAAAAGAATTTATTATTGCCTTCATTAAACCACTCATTCTGTTTCTTTATCATGTTCTGTTAATCTAGAATTAAATTGCTCTAACTGCTTTTAATTTTTAACAGCCTGTTCAGGAACCAGAAAGGATGACCCAGATAATAGTGCAAGCTCTAGAAAAAACTGGACAAAGGGGCATCATTAACAAAGGCTGGGGTGGTCTTGGCAATTGTAATTTTCACTTGCTCTCTTCTCATATTTCCTTCGTTAGATGTTTAGTTTTGGTCACTGTATGGAGTGTATAGCACTTAATTTTCTTTTGTCCAGTGGCAGAACAAAAGGACTTTGTGTACTTACTGGACAATTGCCCCCATGACTGGCTATTCTCACGATGTATGGCTGTGGTAAGTTGTAAATGTAAAACTTATAGCTTCTACAGCGGTTGAAAATTATCTGTTCATATTTTATATTTGATGTCACTTTCATGCAAGTGCTAGATATTTATGAGCAAAGCATTTGGTGAATCATGATATGTACATATGTTTTATATGGGGATAGTGTGTTATATGTCTCAAACAATTGCTCTATTTAGAACCTTTAAACCAGTGGGTCGTTAAGCTCTTTAGCCTCGGAGTGTTTGTTTTGTTGATTTGTTTTTGCTTTAATGTTTTTGCATAAAGTGTTATTGTCTTCAATTCCCTATATTCTATTGTCGTGGCAACAATAGGAGGGGTGGTAGTTTCATTTGAAGCCTTTTATAAGGAGAAAAGGCCACCATCAAAGTATTTCATTTCATTATATTTGCTTAGTCACTTGCTGAACGCACCATTATTATGTCCTGAAGTTGAATTATTTAAGGGTTGTTCAGTGGAATATTATGAAACTGGTTTGTAATTGGAATGGTTGTCTCCCTTGTTCCTTTTAATACTATGGGTGTTGAATTGTGTTCCTTCTGATGGTCCCCAAGTGGATTGCCTGATGACATTACCTCAATAACACTTTTTGTTAGTCTTAACTTTTTTGACTGCTAACTGCCAGATGAGACTTGCTGAGTTGTTCTTTCACCATCTCTCGATAAATTCAACCTGACTTGGACTTTTTCCCACTCAAATATTCATTTTTCCTATTCATGCTCCCACTCTCCTCAAATCCCATTACATTTTGTTTCTTCCTACTTTTTTTTTTTCATTTTATCTCTGTAAATTTCTCTTTGCTAAAATTGTCATTACTTTATTTTTCTAAAATTTTTAATACGTGTTTTAGTTAACAGAAATTTGTTTTTAATTATCTTTATCCACCCATGTTGGTGGTCTACAATGGGTGAATATTGATGAAATGGGTCGATGAGATGCTTCATAAGCTACACAGTTATCTCCTTTTTACTTTTCTCTGTTAAATGTTTTGAAAATGATGAATGAGGCTGAACAGTAAAGCTCTATTTTGGCTGTATGAGTCTATTTATAAGTAATTGGAAATGTGATGAACCGTGTCCTTGAATGTTTTCCCCAGGTTCATCATGGTGGAGCTGGAACTACTGCAGCTGGTCTCAAAGCTGCGGTAACCTGCTGTTCCCAAGATTATATTCCTTTGATCATTTCTCCAACTTTTTAAAGTCATCTTTACTCTTGTATTCAGTGTCCAACAACCATTGTACCTTTCTTCGGAGACCAGCCTTTCTGGGGCGAGAGAGTGCATTCCAGAGGAGTAGGTCCTGCACCCATCCCTGTTGAGGAGTTCTCACTTGAGAAGCTGGTTGCTGCAATAAAATTTATGCTGATCCTGAGGTATGATGAATTCCCTACAGAAATAAACTTTGAAACTGCATTCGTCATATATTATGAACTTTCCTTATATTAACCAGTTTTGGTTTAGGCATTAAGCTTTATATTAACTTACTCATAACTTTTAGTTATTAACTGTAAAAGAATGGCAGCCAGTGGTAAGTTTCTATTCTTGCTTCTTTTGAGGTTTTGGGAGGTTGACCCATTATGCGATTGTTTTTGCTTATAGTACCTTGAGGTCATGGGATTAAGTTTCAAAAAGAGTCTCTCTACAAAGCCAGGGTTTATGGCTACAGCTTTGTTCTGCCCTGAATAATTGTGGTGCCTTTTAGCAAAATTACCAGATTGCTTTACACAGAAACCATATTGCCCTCCTTTAATTACTTGCTTTTTGCCTCAATGGAAAGCAGAAAAACTAATGTCAGCATACAACAATAAAAATATATTTGAAGGATTAAACATTTAGAATGACATAAATCAAGAATGCCTTCATTACAATATATTGTCATGCTTTAAGTTTTCCCATGTAATCTACAGGCTCACCTTGAGGTTTAACCAAATATAATATTGTTTTTTGTTGTTTGTTTTACTTTATAGCAAAATAATTACAAAAAGAAAATAGTAAAGTTGATGGCAAAATGGAATGCAAAATCTGAGAAAACTTTTCCTTTTCCTTTCTAATAATGAGTGACAAAAGCTGTTATTTAACAGAGGAAAGTGTTCGAACTTTAGGCAAGAAGAGACATTTCCCAGCCAGCAAAAGAAAATGGGAAATTTTGTTTTTAAAAAAAAACTTACTTAATTGGCGCTTAGTGAGAGGAAATATGAATATATTTGCTTAAGTATTTCCACGGTGTAAGTGGCCTGAGAGTAGTACTTGGTATACTTACTTTTTTGAATGTTGTGCTGAAGATGTTAAACACAAATTGGTTTCATGCAGGTGAAGAGGCGTGCTGTGGAGTTAGCAGAGGCCATGGCAGGTGAGGATGGAGTAGCAGGTGCAGTCAATGCCTTCTATAAACATTTTCCTGGCAAAAAGTCCAAGGATGAAACCAAGGCAGCCCCAACTCCTTCAGGAGTATTTTCTATAACACGTTGTTTTGGTCGCACATAAGGTAATTTTCAAGCTTCTTCAGAAATGTTGTTGTAATTGAGTGAAGCTACCAAGCACAGTTACTTTCTAACTACCGGCATTCAGCACAAATGGAGCTTGGATTTCCTTTAATGGAGTGAATGATTTGCTTTTGTTGCAGAATTGCATAGCATCTTTGGTATTTCCTTCCTTGGATGATTTGCAAATTACAAGCTTTTTCTGTCGTTGCTCCAGATCGGTCAAATGCTTAGCCGGTAGTAACCTCTAGATGGTGAAAATGCATGCAATGAGGGTATTTACGTATGTGAAAAAGTTTCCTTCCAATCCAAACTTATTTGAATAAGAATGCTACTTTATATGGTGATGTTGTGATCTCGGTGATTAAATGCCAGTGTCTTGAGACTTGTTAGTTGACAAAATTTTCGGTTTTTCCTCGTATAAAAATATGTTTGGTTGTAAAAAAAAATCAATATTACATTATAATTTCAACTTTATGTAAGTTGTTTAAGGATACAAATTATTTTAAAATATTTTACAAACAACTGTATATATTGAGTTTTTCTATTTTATGATAAATAATATGATTTTTTACTTTTACTATTATAAATTTAGGTTAAGATTTTAAAAATGTTGATTTCAATTTTACAGTGAATTTTACTTATTTACAATAAATTATAATCAATTATATGCATATTCTTTACTTTCCATTATATTTATTGTAAGTGAAGCAAATATAATTTTATTTATTCCATTCATTTAACAAAGAAGATAAAAATAATTTACCTTCTTTATTTTATACTTGTTTTTGTTCAATTTTACATACGATTAAGAACTAGTGAATTAAGTCATATCTTATCTATTATAATAAATATATTTTGCTATTGACATGTGATTTCTTTGTTTCCATATCAAATTAAACTACAAATATGATAATAATTAAGATTATCATTAATTATTATACTATATAACATAAATTATTTTTTTAAAAAAATAAAATTTAACTTACAGTATAGTAATATTGACAGAGGTGCGTGCAAGTATAAATATTTTAACAAAAATAGGGAAATAGTAATAGTGCTGAGTTTTCTTTTTGGCCATATAAGACCGACAGTTGAATGTTATGAAATGAAATAACCTTTTGGGTTCCAAGGACAGTGGCTGCCAACTAGACAGCTTCATTCTTCACTAGAGCAATTCAATCTGCAATCAAAAGGCATTTCATCAACCGTCAGTCTATAAATTGCAAGTTTACCATTATGGATGAAATAAAGTAGACAAACGAAAACTTATGAAATTAGAACAAGTACTTGATTACCATCGGATTTCAATTGAAGGAAAATGAGCCTGTCTCTTAGGCACCAGCTTGGGCAACTAATTGGTAACCTCAGTCGCTTCAGAATGTCCAACATTCTATGATCATAAGAAACAACATATTGAAAGGTACAACCAATTAGATATGCAGTCAAAGACACCAAGTTACATTTTGTAATAATTTTCATTATTAAATAGAAGACATTAAAAGCTTTATGTCTATAGCTTCAGAGGGCAGAATTATAGCAAAGGCAATCATTTTCATTTTGTAATAATTAGTAGGCTGATGAAAACTAGAAAAACATAGGGAAATCCTTTAAAATGATGCATACCATTTCTTCGAACAGCTGTTTTATTGTAGTTTTAAGGTCGCCTTCCCACCTTCCTTTTTCTTCCTCCTCTGTCATTTGCACTTGCTTCAGTTTTGGTGCGCTTAAATCTGCTTGACAGAAAATCTTCATTTTTGGGCACCCTCTCACAATCACCTTTCGCAAGATTGGGAATTCAAAGTTGTGATCCCCTAAGCAAAAGCTTGCTAGACTTGGTAGACAACTTAGTTGCAAATACTTCAGTCGGGTGAAAACAATGCCACCTTCCATTTCATCACCCCCACATGCTATGATTTCCTCTATTATCTCACAATCAGTTATGCTCATTCTCTCCAGTAGCACCAAGCTCTTAGCCGTTGAGCATGCTATTAAATTTATGAATCCATGACATTTTGAAACTTCCAGATTGGTTAAATTTTCGAAAGACACCAAAGATGGCACTAGAGTCTTTAATTTGCCACATTCCAGCACTTCAAGAATTCTCAGGTTATAGAAAATTGGTATGGGTTGGAACCCTTCCTCCCAGAGATGTGTTAGCTCTGGAAGTTTAGACAACCTCAATTCATTTAACCGAGTGAGTGCGGATGCATGTCTTTCCTCATCACTGAGTTCTTCAGACTGGAATATTTGATAGAAGGAAGCATCACTCAGAACTAGCTTTTCAAGATTTGGTAATGACTGGATGAAGCAATATGGAAGAACAGTTGATTCCTCAGGAATGCATATGAGCTCAAGAACTTTCAGTTTCCTGAAACATTCTATTGAAAGTACTTGGCTGTGCCATGTCCCTTTCACAGTATCGGTCTGCTTCAATCTTAATTCCTCTAAGATAGGGAAAGTAACCTGAATGATTAACATGTGTTAAACAAAAACCAAGAGTTGTAATTGGTTAAATTATAAAAGAAAAAGAGTTTTATAAGTTTTGTATTCGTACCTCATCGACCCAAAACAAAGGCTGTTGATTCGAGATTTCAACCTGACTCTCTGTATGTGTTTCTCCAAAGCAAGGGCATTCTGCAGCAATGTTGGCCATTCTGTGGCAAATGTAGTCATTTTTGGACAGTCCGCTATCCTAATTATGCCCAGCCTTGGAAATTGAACAGCTCGACTTCCCAAATAAACACTTGTCAAGTTAGAACATGACTCAATTTCTACGGAGTAGAGGTCGGGGAATGTGAACTTATCTGTCGTTGCTTCCTCCTCAACTCCCTGATCCATGATGACTGCTTCCATCGAGGGGCATTCTTTTACTAGTAAATAGGATAATTGCTTGAGGCTCAAAGCCAGGGAGGGGGTAAAAATGTATTTCAAGTTGCTACAATTACAAACTCCTATACGGGTAAGGCTGTTGAAGTCCAAAATTTCTTGAGGGTTTCTATTCCATATTTCCATCAACTCAGGTGATGCGTCTCAGAATTTCAAACCCTACAGGCCATGGTATCCAGCCTAACAAACCCGATGTATTGCAATAGTTATATATGGTAAAACATAACATTATTTATTTAATTACAAATACAAATAATAATGATAAACATCCTTCATTAATTATTGAATTAATATCTTTTTAATTTCTAAAACAATGAAAGAAAGCAATATTTCAATCAGAAAAGTAAAATTGAGCAGTAGTTGGATCACCAATAAACAATTACGCAAAGGAAGAAACCTTTAACTTTCCATACATTTTCCAGGCACCAATAAACAATCACGCAGAGGAAGAAACCTTTTACTTTCCATACATTTTCCAGCCTGGACAAAACCATACTAGCTTGTTTGAGTCCACTGAAATTGTTATAAAATTTGGGAAAATAAAAAAATTAAGAACAAAAAAGGAAGATTGACTTTGAAAGTTGAAAAACCTTTCTTAAAGGTTATTTATATCTTTAGTGAAAATATTTCTACGGACAAATTTTTTATATCATTTAACGAAAATATTTGTTTTTCCATAATACAACTCTTTCTAAACAAAATATAATTTTTTATGAAAAATTAAAGATGTTCGATATATAAAACTTTTTAATTTATAAAACTTTACGGTTACTAAATAGACTCTTAAATATTAGATTTTCCTTTAAATTTACGTTTGTTTTAAATTTAAATTAAATGTAAGATTGGTGTGGGCAAGAGAAGTGTAGACTTACAAGAGATTTTGCTGCACAATAAGCCATTGGCAGCATGCTATCATTTCCCAAACCTGTACAAAAACAAAAGCCTTAACCCGGGAGACTTGACATCAACAAAATCCTTAGCCTATCAACCAGTCCTATAAAACAAAAAAATCAACCATTCATAACTTCCCGAAGCCAGGATCACTCCAAACAACATCAGTAAAAAAGAAAACAAATCAACATAACCACTGCAGTGCTCCAAATCCTAGCTAAAAGTGGGCCATCAATTGACACCCCTTGCAAATTCGACAAAACCCTTCTTTCCTGACATTGCTTTGCTCCACGAGCCCAGTTTCAATGAGTAGAAAACCAACAGCCAAAGCATGAATCGGCACCAGAAAACATCAAAAGCAGCCCCTACTGCAATAAAAGTACAATATGGTCGAAAATTTTTTATTGATGAAAATGGTCATATTTTTTTTATGTTTAAATCATCATTTTATATATTTCAATCATTAATATTACCAAATTTTAATTATATATAATTATAATATTAATTATTTTTAATATATAATTATCTTTCATTTATAATTGTTTTTATACTTAAGCAATTATTCCGTACCTTAAAAATATTTGTATAAATGCTAATGAATTTAAAAATGTAAAAGCATATTGAATTCCTTGAGTTTTTGTTTTATTTAAAGCAAGAAACTGTTAGCACAATTCATCTCACCTGCCTATGCGCTTACTTTATATTTAAAATCTTGTTATCAAGGATTGAGATTTGATCTTATAGGTTTAGTTTTCGAATCTTTTAAATGAGACACAAAATTTTCAATTTGTAGTTCAAATCTCTATGTTCTAAAAAATAAAGAACAATTTGATTTTGATTTGTTGGTTCTTCTCTCCTGCTAACATCCCATTACTTAATTTAATCATACGCTGGACGAAGACTTGCTAATTCATTCTTATACGAAGAGGAAAATGAGGACTTGTTATAATAAGACTTAAAACATTGTGCAATAGATGTACACAATGCCGAGACTGGTCAAGTTCCACATAAAGGATACCAGATTATAGATAGTCTCTAGATCGATATTCATGCAAAGTCAAACAATTCTTTTAAGAAAACGTGAATTGGGATATTCAACGAGGGGACTTGAGAAAATTGGGCATGGCGAAACCCCAACGTAGCTTCGTCTACGCGGAGAGAGTGTATGTCCTCGGGACAGTAATCCTCTAGGATACAGCTAGTTGTTGCAACTTGCTAATAATTTATATAGCTATCTTCAGCAGGCTTGTTAAGTTTCCCCTTACATTTCTCTTTTCACACATTGATACTTATACGTTACGTTTCAATAAGAAAGATTTAATTGACCAAAGAATTTCATTTAGTAAGATACTTTTTTAATTATAAAGCAGAAATTATATTTGAAGTCAAACATTTTTTCCATATATATATAATATAGTAATAGATCTTGCTAAATAAATCGTAAACAAATCAATAAAAAATTAAATTATATTTATACATGATGAGATTTAAATCTAAAATATAAATAAAATCTTTTCATAAGTATTCAAATTGAGTACGCAATTGATAAATAATACTTAACATCTTGAGATATTGTTGTGCTCGAAAGTTTTTTATCTATTCTTATCCTGAGATGAATGATATAAATTTTATAAAACATTACAAATGAAAAGTTTTGTATATATAAGAAATTGTTAACAAATTTTCGTTCTTAAAAATAATTTTAATGCTTTGCATTTTCTCTAAAATATACTTTGTTGTTCTCATATTTTTTATCTTAATTTGATTTTAATGAAGTTGAGTAGGGATATCAATGGGTAAGGTATTTATTAATTTTGAGATATTTGAACCTGAATCTAAACCTAATTAATAAATGGAATACCCGAATTTTATAATTACTAAATATTTTTTAAATTTATTATCCTAATTCGAACCGTAATACATACCTACTATCTGATAATTACCAAATCAATTTAAAAATCTGATTATGTAAAAAAATTATTAAAATATTTTTTATAGGTACCCGAACTCGAATTTGTACCCATATCTATATACAATAATATTTTCCATCCACATTCCATATAATTTACTAATAATTAAATTTATAAAAGCACATAAATAATAAAGTTTAAATTTAAATAATCAAAAACAAATATCTTAAATATCAATTTAAATAACTAAAAATAAATATTCAAATAACAACTTAAACAACATTATAAGTTTACAATAAGCCAACAACATTACAATTTTAATTAACTACATGGATTTGTCTTTAATTACATGAAATTAAAAACAAATATCTAGGTTATAAAATTTTTTTAATCTCATAGCTTCTCTTTAGGTATATATATTATAATTAATAATTTTATAAAGTATAATTTTTGTAAAGTTAACCCAAAATAAAAAGTAAAATATTTGTATTTAAAGTATGTATACTAAAAGTATATAAAATAATAATAATAATTATTATAATCATTATAAATTAACACAATATATAAAGTATATATATTAAAAGATATTATAAGTTAATTAATAATCATAATTTTATGAATTAATTTAATTAATAATATAAGTTTATCTTTAATTATATAAAATTTTTAAAAAAACATAATCAGGTTCAGGAATCAAGTGTCCAAGGGGTAATAACTGAACCCAACATGGGTAGTGAAATTACTACTTGAACCCATCCCAAACCCGATTAGAGGTACCTTAATCTTGTATAACCGGGCTAAGTACTTGCGAGTACTATATAACAGGATATCTATTGCTATCTTTAAAGCTGAGAGATAAAATTTAACTTTTTAAAATTTTATATTAATTAAAATTTTAAATTTTAAATGAATATTTCATAAGTTTAACATCAAAAGGTAAATATAAATAGAAGTAGTATTAAATGTTAAAAAAGAAAACAGAGAATAAATTTTTGAGGTTTGAGAATCGAGAGATTTAAAAACAAGATGGATAAATAAAAAAGAAAAAAAACCTATTATTTATTTGTATTTATCATTAAATCATTATTACGACCAAAAGTGCCATTTTAATCTCATGATAAGTTAAATTGTTGAGCAAAACCATGCGGTTTCTATATAATAAAGGTAAAATTAATTTGCAGGAAGTTCACAATATTTAAAATTTTTTTCCAATATTTATAACATATTTAAAAGATTCAACCCCGTATCAGTTTTAGAAGGTATTTAAAAAGATTGAACAACATTTTTAAAAGAGATCTGACATTGTTTATGTAGACTGTAGAGGTATGAATTTTGCGCAGACCGCATACATGAGTGTTTTATATTTAACCTGTGGGCCATGCATGAGTCATACTCTAATTATAGTAGTGTAAAAGATTATCATTTAATACAAACAACATGCTGATAGTTGAAGTCAATAGACTATAAAATAATTTTCTCTTTTCATTGATATCTCTTTAAGAGAATTTCGATAGATTCTGTAATTAATTTGACAAAGTTTTGGAAATGCTTTATTGGAGATTAATGAAAATTATAAACATCATCTGCAGGTTTATAAAATTTTCACTTATTCATTTAATAAAATAAAATTTTAATAAATTAATATTTTTATTTAATTATATAAAATATTAATAAATTAATATAAGATCTAAATGAACACGCATATCAATTTTATAAATTGTATTATGGAATTTAAAAACTTCAATGCTAGTATATATAATAATCCATATATCAATCCATATGTTTTTAGAATTATTATTCTACAAACCTATGACGCTTTGATATTTTAGTCTAAAAGCTCTCACAATTAGCACTTAAAGTTGAAAAAATTTACATTTTTAAATATTATAATGTATGTTTTTTTATTAACCTATAAAAGAAATTAAAATATATTAACAAAAAAGTTAGTAGAATAATTACAATTTTTTAAAATGTAGTTTAAAATTGATTTTATGTCGGTTCAAGAATCGATCTTATGATTCGATTTTTTGGATCTAAATCGAGTAAGTATTTAAAATTGTAAATCATTCTAAAAGATTGGTTTTAAAAGTTTTAAATTTTGAATGATTTTGAATAGTAAATTAAGTCTTATGAGCACTTTAAAATTGATCCAAGACAATTTATGGATGATTTTGGACCGTTTATCACATCCACTTAGTTCCTTAACTTCGTCAATTGTCCATAATTGTTTTTATTTAGTTTGACGTGTAGGCCTGTAATTTTGATAATGTAATTTGATAATTATTAATTTACATAAAATGTTAAAATTTTGATGCGGATCTAGTCTGAATTTAAAATAAAATTCAAATAAAATATTAAAATATAAATAATTTTATATAATATTAAAAATTTAAAATTTTATTAAAAACTTGTCAACTATTCAAATTTAATGTTAAAAAAATGTTACACAGGTGACAAGTCGAGCACGACTCCGACCTTCACTTAGTAACTCAATCTTAGCTAGACAAGCTCTTTTCTCCACCATTAGAACAAGATCTTCTTTAGTCTTATTTGGTTTTGTTTGTGTTGACAAATTTTTGATCGATATCATGTTGAATTTATTTCCCAGTTTGATGATTATTTATTTATTCTTTAGTTCTGAGGATTGGAGTAAACAATTTTCAAATATGATCCTGATTTTTGCATATATTTTATTTTATTTTTAATTTTCAATTTTAATAAGCTTTTGACTTCCACATAGGACATTTAATAATGACACTGGCTTTGGGAAATACTGCCAAACATAATCATCTTGTAGAAATATAAAAAATTTTGGTCAAATTTTCGTTTTTCAGTCGAAAGAATTCGATCTAGTTCAGACATCGAGTTTGACAGCTCACCCCAGCTCAAGCCGGTTCCTTTACGTTGACTTTTTTTTTTAATTCCTTTTTTGGAGTTCTGACCATGCATGAAAATATGCTTTGCTCATTGATTTTCAAAACTCTTACAAATGCTTCAACGTTTGCGGCTGTTGTCTTCTCTAACTTGGTTTGATTTTCTTTCCCTTTTGTGGGTTTGGTACTTTTCCATTTGCTGCTTCTGCATGCCTCTTGCATTCCTCAAAAGCCAGAACCTTTCCTTTTGATTCTCTGTCATCACATTAACCAATTCTACACTTTCTCGTTAGCTCTCTGATTGCTAAGAGAGATGGCGAGTGAGTGAAAACCCTTTTTAATTTCTCACCATTTTGATTATTTGATTTAAGTCATTTGGTGTCATCGTTGCTTGGTTGCTGTTTTTCATTAATATTTTCCCTTTTTGAGTCTGCCCTGCTGTTGGTTCCTACTGAAAAAAAAAAAAAAGAGAAGAGGAAGCAAGGAACCAAAGAAAGAAAGAGAACACAGAAAGAATGGAAGCTGCTATTGCTACTGGTGGCGCTGGCAACCTGGTTGCTGAAGTTGTCAAATACATAGCCCCTCAATTTAAACGTCCTATAAGTTACATATTTCTCCATAGGAGAAAGGTTGAGAATTTTGAGGAAAAGGTTGAGATGTTAACAGAAAGACGGGAGAGAGTGCAGAATGCTGTTGATGTTGCTGAAAGGAACATGGAGATAATAGAAAAGGATGTCCAAAATTGGCTTATTAGAGTGAACAGGATAATCAATGAAGAGGTGAAGGACGTGAAGGATCTCGAAGACAAAGCCAAGAGCAAATGTTTTGTTGGCTTGTGTCCTAACTTCAGGTCTCGTTACCTGCTAAGCAAGAAAGCAGGAGAAGGTTCCAACACTATTGATGAACTCCTCCGGCAAGGTGAATTTAACAGGGTATCATTCCCTGCTGCTCCACCAGACATAGTGGCTGCCTCTGCCAAAGAGTTTGAGGCCTTTGATTCAAGAAAGAACGTTTTTGATGAGATCGTGGAGGCTTTGAAAGATGCCAGTATCAACCTGGTAGGGGTCTATGGGATGGGTGGTGTTGGCAAGACCACCCTAGTCAAAGAAGTTGCCAGACAAGTCAAAGAGGATAAGTTATTTGATTCGGTGGTTATGGCAGCTGTAACTCAGACACCTGACATTCAGAAAATTCAAAACCAAATTGCAGATATATTGGGTTTGAAGTTCGACGAGCAGAGCATGACTGGAAGAGCATGTCGGTTGTCTGAAAGGTTGAAGAAAGAGAAGAAGATTCTTGTTGTTTTAGATGACATTTGGGCGAGGCTAGATCTGGAAGAAGTTGGAATTCCTCTTGGAGATCAACAGAAGGGATGCAAGATACTACTGACGTCAAGAGATCAAGATGTACTATTTAATGGGATGGATGCTAAGAAAACTTTTGCAATCGGTGTTTTGGAAGAAAGTGAAGCTTGGGACCTCTTTAAAAAGATGGCAGGGGACAGTGTTGAGAATCTTGAGTTGCGGTCTACAGCAATTAAGGTAGCACAAAAATGTGCTGGATTGCCGGTCGCCATTACCACAGTTGCCAGGTCTTTAAGAAGCAAGGGTTTATTTGCATGGAATGATGCTCTGAGAAAACTACAGAGGCCTTCCCCTACAAACTTCACAGGGATACCAGCACATGTATACTCAGCTATAGAGTTGAGTTACAGTCATTTAGAAAGTGAGGAACTCAAACAGACTTTCTTGCTTTGCAGTCTACTGGGTCACCATGTTGCCATTCAAGACTTGTTGAAATTTACCATGGGTTTGGGTTTACTTAATGGTGTTGGCACAGTAGAAGAAGCACGAGATAGACTGTTGACATTGGTGAGCAACCTCAAAACTTCTTGTCTATTACTTGATAGCTTCACCTGTGATCGCTTTGATATGCATGACCTTATTTCGGATGTTGCCTTAGCAATTGCCTCAAGGAACAACCATGTGTTTGTATTAAAAAATGAGGATGTTCTGAAAGATTGGCCTGATGAAGATACTATGAAAATGTGCAGTAGCATTAGTTTGTGTTATGCTAGTATTAATGAGCTTCCTGATGAGTTGAAATGTCCTCAACTTGCTTTCTTCCATATGGGTAGCAAGGATGCTTCTGTAAGAATACCAGCTAACTTTTTTAAGGAAACAAAAGATCTTAAAGTCCTAGATTTAACTGACATGCATCTTCCCTCCTTACCTTCGTCAATTTTTCTCTTAACAAATCTTCGTACACTATGCCTAGATTTCTGTGCGCTAGGAGATATAGCCATCATTGGAGAGCTCAAGGATTTAAAAGTTCTCAGCCTTATAGGATCTGATATTGAAAGACTACCGAGGGAAATTGCACGGTTGACACAGTTAAGGTTATTAGATCTTCATGATTGCACCAAACTCAAAGTAATCCCTCCGAATGTCTTGTCAAGTTTGTCCAGATTAGAAGAATTATACATGGGTAACAGTTTTGTCCAATGGGAAGTGGAGGGACATGCCAATCAAAGAAGCAATGCTAGTCTTGCAGAATTGAAATCTTTGTCTCGTTTGACCACTTTAGAGGTTCATATTCCTGATGCCAAGATTATGCCAAGGGACTTGTTTTTTGAAAAGTTGGAAAGATACAACATCTTTTTAGGAGATAAGTGGAATTGGTTTGATACAAATGAATACTCGAGAACTCTGAACCTCCAGCTAGATTCAGGCATTGATGATTTGGATCTTGGAACTAAAATGTTGTTGAAGAAAACTGAAGATCTACACCTACATGAAATGAAAGGTGTCAAGGTTGGGCTGAATGAGTTGGAAGATGGGGAAGGTTTTCCACATTTGAAAAATCTCCATATCCAAAATGGTTTGGAGATTCGATATATCATTAATGACGATGATGCTGTTGATAAAGTTGAGTTTCTTCAACTACGGTCATTGACACTTCAGGATCTACCACAACTTATAAGCTTTTGCTCGGGAAACAGAAGAGGCTTAACTTCCATATCTCCACTGGAATTTCCACTTTTCAATGAAAAGGTATTTATTTATCCTCTTTTAGTAAATGGCATTTGTTGGTCTTATTTCTGACAATATTTAGATTATTCATGTCAAACAATGTTCTCAAAATTAAATTTAAATCCCACATTATTTTTGGTAAGTGCCCCTTATATTGTTATAAAGCCAATATATAAGTTGTAGAATTAATTTGCTCGGCATGAGTTACTCAACTAGATTTCCCGTAATTCTTTAGAAAATTGTGTTCTATACTTATTCTCTTTTTAAATTTATATGTGAGAGTTTAGCTTAAGCGGTAAGATGTGTGAGGGTTTGACTACAGATCTTTTGTTCAAGAATTTCTTCCCTAGTCTAGTTTTGAATAGGTTAATCTTAAGATAAGATTAATATTACTCTAATGTAGTAAACTAACTTAAAAGATTGAGACAACAAGAATTGACTAGATAACCAATTGATTTTATTATAGTAGGCAAAAATTCATTTGTAGTTCGAATAAGTTACTTAAGAAATAAACTGGAAACTTGGGGATCCAACTGAATTTGACTGATAGTCATTTTCTTTCTTTCCTTCCTTTTTCCCCCCTTTACCCTTTTTGTTTTTGATCAGATCATCAGTTTCTCTATATGCTATTTGATGTGTAAAGAAAACAAGTGTTGAGAAATTTTAAGATTGACAATGTTTGAAACATTTTGTTTACAATCCCTTTGCATGAAGTTGAAGCAGTTATCTGAATCTGGATCCTCTATAGTTTGTCGGCTAAACATGGTTTTTTTTTTGTTAAAATTATTTTTAATTGAGTGGGAAGGAAGGAGGCCTGGTTGATGTTGAGATTTAGACCAATTTCAGCCAAAAACCAATGATTTCTAACACTAACTCATTGTAACTCAATTGCTATTAAAGACACTGAATGAGAATGGGTAGTAATTTCTGCTCAGTGGTGCACAAGTTGGAATGGCAGGCATCATTACTTCTTTTTCATCATAGTGTGTTATGTAATTATATATACACAAAAAGAAGAATTTCAATTCTTTTTTGTTTAATTTCTTTTTTATCCTTTAGTTGAAATAAGAAGGTAAGATTTTTTACAGAAAAAAATTACTTGTGTGCAGGTGGTGTTTCCATGCTTGGAAAACCTGCGGTTGTCCTCAATTAACGTCGAACAGATATGGCACAATCAGCTCTCTGAAATATCTTATTGCATTCAGAATCTGACAAGCTTGATCATTGAAGGTTGTGGCAAGTTAAAACGCCTATTGTCCTCTTCTATGATTAGAAGTCTAGAGCATCTCAAAAGCTTTGAGATAAGTGACTGCAAGTGCTTAAGAGAGATAATATTCACAGAGGATATAGAAGAAGAAAACAATTCTATGGTTTTATTTCCTCGGTTAAACTCTCTTAAAATAAAGAGTATGCAACATCTTATTGGGTTTTGCTCAGAAAATCATAGTATTGAGTTCCCATCCTTGAAGCTATTGGAGATAGAGCACTGTCCTCAGTTTAAGGGATTCATGTACAAATCTACAATGGAGGACAACCAACGTTGCTCTACACAAGCTCTCTTTGATGAAACGGTAGATTACTGTTAATGTTTTTTTCTCTACTTATGTTCTCTTTGTCTTGATTTCGGCCTGGATTGTAGGAAGTATAACTTTTATTATCTTTTCACTCTTTAATGGCATGTACTACACACAGGTTGCATTTCCCAGTTTGGAGAAAATGACGATTTCCCACTTAAGAAATATGAAGATGATATGGCACAGCCAACTCTTTGCAAGTTCCTTTTGCAAACTGGAAGAAATGAGAGTTGAACACTGCAATGAGTTGCTGACCGTTTTTCCATCTAACATATTGGGAACATTCCAACAACTTCGAACTCTGAAAATATCCAGTTGTGGTTCACTAGAAGAAGTATTTGACCTTCAAAGGTTAAATATGGAAGAAGCACAGGTTGTAACCACTCAATTAAGAGAATTGGATATTGTTCATTTACCAAAATTGAAGCAGATTTGGAATAATGATCCCCAAGGAATTTTAACCTTTCAAAATCTATGCATAGTATATGTTTGGGATTGTTGGAATCTGAAGACTGTGTTTCCACCCTCCGTTGCTAGTGTTCTTCCTCAACTTAAAGATCTTAAAATATATAGCAGTGGGGTGGAGGAGATTGTTTCGAAGGAGGAAGGATCGGAAGTGGCTATTACTTTTGAGTTTCATCAAGTATCCTCCCTTGTTCTTTGGAACCTACCAAAACTAAAATGTTTCTACCCAGGAAAGCATACAACAAAGTGGCCAACGTTAAAGAAGTTGATAACCTATCATTGCAATGACATAATGATACTCAGTACAGAACAGCGGAACATGCAAGAAATGAATGGCGGCTATCAACTTGAATCCCCAATCCAACCACCACTTTTCTTGGTTGAAAAGGTATGAAATAATTTATCCTTTTTTTCTAAATATTCAAATGTAAGTTCTCACCATAATTTTGGAAAAACTATAACAATTTCACATAATGATTTATACAAAATTATCAAGGGAATATTGTCATTCTTGTACTTTAACTGTTTAATTCAATTAATTGGTACTTTCTTAATTTTAAACTTAAATTTAATTAGTAAGTACTTTAATTTTTTGTTTATTAAGTTCTCCCCTACTATATCTACTCATTCTCAAGTCTCATCTCCATCTCCTGAAAATATAAAAGAAAAAAGGAACGTTATTAACCGCCTTCTTTTAATTTTTCTTTCATTTTCTCATCCCATGCTCCAATAGAAGAAATTTTCTCTAGTTATTTATCCTTTTATTTCATTTTTTGGCAATTATATTTTCTTTCATAACATTGCATGCATTGATTGACTAATGGAATTTATATGAAGCGGTATTTCGAAAGTTGTCCAATTGTTTGCATCATTTTCACGCACTTTAATATTCCCAATATAGATCAATATATTACATTGCTTTGTTCTGTCCATAATATTTTCAATTGGATAGTGAAAATACGAAATATCATTAAACAAAGTAAAGTTTGAAATGTAATTCTGATTTGTCTAAAGAATTGCATGACCTCTCTTTTCAGCATTTATGTGATGGACTTTTTTGGTGTGTGTGCGTGTTTTCAGGTCATCCCTAAACTTAAAGAATTGTCATTAAACTGTGATGACATTACAATGATGTGTGATAGTCAGTTTTCAAGAAGCCTTTTTCCTGGAGTAGAAGTCCTTAAGTTGCTCTGCTACCATGATGAAAATGCTATTTTTCCAATTTCTTTCGTTGAAAGATTCCAAAATCTAGAAAGGCTTGAGGTGGTTTGTTGTAAATTCAAAGAAATATTCTCTTCTGAAGGAGATATAGGTTTGGAGAGACGTGCTGGGACACTTTCACAAGTTAGAACCTTAAAATTGGATGGTCTTGATAATCTTCTACATATATGGAAGCAAGATTCACGACTAGACCACATTCTTCTAAACCTTGAGACTCTTGAAGTTCACAACTGTAGGGGTCTGATTGGCTTAGGATTGTCGCAGTCATCTTTTCAAAATCTCAAGACCTTGGATGTGTGGCAGTGCAATGCAATGATAAATTTAGTTACATCCTTAGCAGTCCAAAGTCTGGTGCGACTTGAAAAAATGAGTATAAGAGAGTGCCTTTCAATGAAAGAAATTGTTGGAGATCCGGGAGATGAAGAAACTTATGACATTGTTTTCAGTAATCTGAAATGTTTGGAACTTCAACATTTACCAAATCTTACAAGCTTTTGTTCAGGCAATCACACATTTGAGTTCCCATCTTTGGAACAAGTAATTGTGACCCAGTGTCCCGAATTGAAGATTTTTTGTCATGGAGTTCTAAATGTCCCACTGCTGAGAAGAGTCCAAAAAACAAACGAAGATGATAAAGGACCTTGGGTTGGTGATCTCAACAGCACCGTCCAACAGCTTTACACAGAACAGGTACTTGTCAATATACCAACTGTTATTCATCTCTAATATTATTTGTCTTGTAAGGCTCTTGTAATTAATCTTTCTATTGCTCGGTGTTGTTTTGAAAACCATTGGTGCTTGCTCATGTTCTTTTAATTGTTTAGCTTTACTTTAGGGTTTTTTCGGTTTTTATTTCTTTGTTGTTATGATATTTATTCTTGTAATATAATAAGCGGTGTAATAATTTGAATTTTGTAGGTTGGATTCCAAGGAATGGAGTATTGCGTACTTTCCGAGTTTTCTAAGTCAATGGAGATATGGAATGAGAATCTTCCTGGTGTTTTAGACTTCAAAAATCTTAAGAGTTTGGAAGTCTATGGATGTAATAGATTGAAGTACATTTTTACCTTTTCCATGGCTTTGGATCTTCAGCAACTCAAAGAGATAAAGGTTAAAGATTGCCTCATGATGGAGCACATTATTACACATGATGGAGAGGAAGCAGCGACATTGACAATCATGCTCCCTTGGCTTCAGTTCGTAACTCTTGAGTCATGTTCAAACTTGACAAGTTTTTATTCAGGAATTAATACATTGGAATGTCCATCTCTGAAAGAAATTATTCTAGTTGACTGTCCAAAGACATTTGCATTTGCATCCACAATTTCCAGAGAGCAAGGGCCTGAGAAATTTGACAGAGGAAATATGAAAAGGAATGGAAAGGGAATCCCCAATGACACTGTTGCACCCTTTTTCAGTGATAAGGTCAGTCTTTTTTATTTGTACAGTGATAATTTTTGAAGTTTTGAATATTTAGCTTTGTAGTTGTGGTTATTGAGAGAACAACAACATTTAATCAACACTAGAATAAAGTTTATTAGAAATACTGAAGCTGCAATAGCCCAATGACCTGTTTTGGGATGCAAATAAATTAGTCTTATAAAAAACAAACCCAAACTTTTCAAATATTGAAGCAGCTTCATGATTATGGTTCAATCTCGCTAAACATCCATAGAAGAGAATAGTTCATGGTTCTGTCCTATCAATAACAACACAGAGTCCTAACCCTTAATACATTCACAGCTTTGGTCCCAGAACCAATTTAGTCATAGTGCTGATCATCGCTGTTTCTCATTATTTGCATGCCAATGCTTTGGAATCTTCTTTTTTTGTTGGATAATTAAATATTTATTTTAATCTCCAAAGGTTGTAGCTAACTTGCTACAATGGACTGGCTAATACCCCAGTTCCTAAATTAAACTTTGTTTATAGGCTCTTCTTGCCTTAATGCTCAGGAAACATGTCACATTGCTTTCCTTTAATTAAAGAACAGAATGTTGTTCATGCAATGAGGATTGCGCTTGCAGGTATTGTGTCCCCACTTGGAGTACGTGCGATTGTGTTCAATTAAAATTCAAAAAATATGGCACGATCAACTACAAGTAACATCTTCTAATCTTCAGAATTTAAAGACTTTGATTGTGGAGGGTTGTCACAGTTTGAAATATCTATTTCTACCTGCCATGGCAAAAGCATTTTTGCAACTCAGGGACCTTTATATTATTAATTGTCAGAATGTGGAGGAAGTAATCATAGTAGAAGGATTAACAGAAACAGAAAGGATATCACAAATGTTTTTTCCCAAACTAGAATTACTGGAGCTCAGAGGCCTACCCAAACTTGTGAGATTCTGCCATGGAAATTACTTTGTCTTCCCTTTCTTGAGAACACTATGGATAACGGACTGTCCTGAATTGAATACTTTAATTTCCGATTCTTTAATTGGAGGTCAACCTCAGATGGCTCAAAAGGAGGAAGGAAACAAGTCAGAGGTTGATACTTTATCCTTCTTCAATGAAAAGGTGATTTCTTTTTTTTGCTTTTTTGCCATATATGAGTTTTAATTTTCTTCTAGTATTCTTGTATATTCTTGTATCTAGCTTTTCTTACTTCTATTAATTTCACCTTTCATAGCAGTAGTATATTTAATAAGATTTCATACTGGTTACTTTGCCAACACTTTTGTGTATATTATCTAAGTGTGATTTATTTTCCCATGTTAACATGAGTAAATAAATTCTGCAGGTTGCATTCCCTAGAATAAAAGAATTGAGAATTACAGGCATGGGGAACTGGAGAAAGATTTGGCAGGACAAACTCACTGTGGATTCATTTTGTGAACTAAATTTCCTTTTAGTGAAAAATTGTGAAAGACTTTTGAATATTTTTCCGTTTGACATGATGGAAAGACTTGACAAACTAAAAGAACTGCATATATGGAACTGTGCTTCATTAGAAGAAATAATTGGAGCTCATGAGCTCAATTCCTATGAATCACATGTGATTAATGCTACTCAATCAACCATCATGTTTGTACTTCCTAAAGTAACATTCCTTGGACTTTCTACACTTCCCAAATTGAAGTGTTTCTACTCCAAGATCCATACTACAGAATGGCCGTCATTAATAGAATTGCAAGTGATTGGATGCAGCAAAGTAAAGATATTTGCTGGGGAGTATCTGAACTTGCAAGAAGTGCAAAGAGAGAGCCAACTTGAAATCTCTACTCAACAACCCTTGTTTTGGGTCAGTAAGGTATGAACACCGTAAATATTTAGCTTGTACTGATGAATTTTCAGTGTTACATTTTGCATGGTCCTTTGTGTCAGGGTCAATCTACACCACTTTTCCTTTTTTTTTTTCTCTTGTTATTTCACAAATATCCATTGCATCAGTATGCTGAAGTGTAGCTGTTCTCCTTTTTTTATTTTTATCATAAACATTTGGAGATTTAGACCTTTAGATGGTTCATTGGGATTGTAAGTATATTCTACATCCTTTTCCAGTTTGAACCTTTGCTTTTGTTTATGTATTGTTAATTTCTCAGGATACGTTCCCCAATCTTGAAGTATTAATTCTCGAGCAGAATGACATTATGAAGGAGATATGGCTTGGACAACTTCCAACACAATATTTTAGCAAACTGAGAGCGCTTGAGCTCATAAGCTTTCCTTACAATGCAGTTACTGTCCCAGATTGTTTCATTCAGTCATTACCAAATCTTGCAAAGCTTGTTGTTAGTGAAGCTTCCTTTAATGAAATATTTCAATGTGAAGGACATGAGGGTGTGGGAGAACATGCAAAAGCACTTGCTTTGTTGAGTGAACTAAGGCTATCAGAACTTCCTGAACTGACATGTCTCTGGAAGGAAGAAACACCACTTGGAGATGCTTTTTATAACCTGAGAACTCTAGAGGTGATGGGATGTGGAAGATTAAAGAATTTAGTGCCATCCTCTGTGTATTTTGAAAATTTGACAACTTTGGAAGTATCGAAATGCCATGGATTTATAACTTTGATAGCACTCCCAACCGCTAAAAGCATGGTGCATCTCGCAAGAATGAGTATTACTGATTGCCCAATGATGGAAGAAGTCGTAGCTTGTGCAAGTGAAGTGAGGGATGGCATCATTTTCTCCCAACTGAAGTATTTGGAACTTGGTAGTCTTCCGAGCCTATCAAGCTTCTGCTCAGGGAATTGTTCCTTTCTATTCCCTTCCTTGGAAAATGTCACCGTCAGACACTGTTCAAATATGAAGATTTTCTCTCAAGGAGAGTTGAGCACACCCAATATGCAGAGAGTTCAATTTGCTGAAGATGAAGAGCGTTGGGATGGAAATCTAAACACCACTATGGAACAGATCTTCATACAAATGGTATGCCTTCTTTCAGCATATCTTACTTCTTTTTTTCCTCTCCCCACCCTATTAAAGCCTTGATCTGAGTAGTTGGAGCTTGCTCAAATGTAATTGCTTCTTGTGTTACAACATGCCACTAGCTATAGAATGTCTAAGAATGTAACTGAAAAATATCCTTTTTCCTTTCAAAAGTAATTTATCAGTTTTGTTCACGCATTTAACGGGGATCTGAAAACTTGTGGCAGACTCTCATTTAGACATGCATAAATGCATTTTATCTGACAATAAAACTACCCAGATGAAGTAGAGAGAAGATAAATTTTATGACATTGCAGAAACTAGAACATTAACCTTTATTCTATTGAAACCAAAGCAAAATTTGTATAGACCTGAGAGTTGAGCCTGCCTGATTGGAAGTAATCTTATTTATTTTTCAGCAGTAGTTGACAAAATAAGAGTTATGTCAAACCTGTTTATAGAATTATCTTAAAATGGGCAGTTCTTGTAACAATTGCTTTCTTGTTTGTTGTGATGTTATATTTACAGAATGTCTCCAATTCTAAAGAAGAGGAAGGTTGTTCCTCACACCCCAAGTTCAATCAAGGCAATGCTTCTATGTTTTTGTGAGACACTGAAGCTCATGTTTTTTAGAACTTCCATTGGGTCAGATGGGAAGAGGGTATTCTTTTGAAAAACGTTATTTGACTGCTCTAGCTATGTGCTCATATTGTTACAAATGCTTTATAGATGGTTCTGGCACTTTTTGATCGCTGGACGAATGGTTAACACTTCCCATTATGTCATGGTGCCAGGAAAATATTTCCCTTCCCAAAGACAATGTATTTGAAGTTTTGCTATTTGTGCAAGTCTGTATTGATTTCTAGGTAAATTACAGCACTTGAATCTAATTAGCTTAAAGATATCTTCTACAAGTCTGTAAATGTAGACACCTATATCTGTTTTGTTCTAAGAAAGAGCCTGCACTTTTGATGAACTTATCCAACAATGCGAATTTAACTGAGTATCATATCCTGATGTTCCACAAGGCACAGTGACTGCATCTCTTAAAAATTTTGAGGCCTGCGAATCAAGAAAGCCAGTTTTTGACAGGATCATGGAGGCTTTGGAAGATTCTACCATCAGCATGATAGGGGTGTGTGGGATGGGAGGTGAGCAAGACCACACTAGTCAAGGAAGTTGCAAGCTGAGGAGGTTGAGATATTTGATTCGGTGGTAGGGAAGCTTTAACTCAGATTCCTGATATTCTGAATGTTCAGGACCAAATTGCAGAGTTATTGGGTTTAAAGCTGGAAGAAAAGCTTACAGTAGTAAGAGTACAATGGAAAAATCTCATCGCTCAACTCCTGTTAACAAAGCAGTGCATCTAAGTAGCAGTCAAAGAACTCAACCAGCAGCTCACCAAAGCCATCTGATGCAGCAGAAGTCTGCTGTGCCACTACCTAAGCAACTGCTGGTCCATGACCAAGTCAGGTTAAGACAACAGCAGCTAAGCCAAGCCTTCATTACAGTTGCAAAATAAGCCTATCCACTTTGACAGCAAGGATTCGAATACTCAAGCACTTATCCATTCAAGCAGCTGAAGATTCAAAGCAAAGTCTATCTATGGCTGTTGTTCAAGACTTGAAATTTTAAAATTCAATAGGATCATGCTGATCATCATTGTATTGTTCAAATTTAAATGTAGATAAGCCTTATCACCATACCATGTAACTTTGTAAAAAAATGTGTTTCCGTTACATCCATGAATCAGATCCGTTTTTCAAGTTTGTATCCGGTCGTCTCTTGCTTTTACAAAGAGCATGTTGATTGTGCGAAAGATTGAAGAAAGAGAAGAATATTCTTCTTGTTTTAGATGATATTAGGGCAAGACTAGATCTCGAGGTAGTCGAAATTCCTTTTGGAGATCAACACAATGGATGCAAGATACTTCTGACATCCAGAGATCATAATGTTCTATCCAATGTTTTGAGAGTAGTACTTGGTATTCTAACTTTTTTGAATGTTGTGCCGAAGATGCTAAACACAAATGGGCTTCATGCAGGTGTAAATGTTACGGGATCATTACCCTCTTCCCAAAAGACATGCCTCTTGAGGTGTGCACTTGTTTATAAAAAACCCAAAACTTTCCGTTCTTGTTCGATGTGGGATAGAGGTACCTTTTGTGACACGTAACACCTTCATTGCCGTCGGTCACCCTACTTACCCCGATCTGTTGGGGCGTTTGGAGTGAGTCAGATGAAGTCCAATCTGCTTTGATATCACTTGTCATGAGGTCATTACCTTGTCCCCAAAAAATGCACCTGTTGGGGTGCGCAGCACACCATCTTATAAGGAGCCCAGAACCTTCCGTTCCTATCCGATGTGAGATAGAGATACCCATTGTGACATAAAGACGTGCTATGAAAGTAACCTGTAGAGGGTGAAAATGCATGTAATGAGGGTATTTACGTATATGAAAATGTTTCCTTCCAATCCAAATTTATTTGAATAAGAATGTTGCTTTATATGATGATGTTGTGATCTCGGTGAAGTCATACGTAGATTAAATGCAGTGTCTTGAGACTTGTTAGTTGATAAAATTATCGGTTTTTCCTTGTCTAAAAATATGTTTGGTTGTCAAAAAATATATGATTTTACAATCAAATGTATATATTGAGTTTTTCTATTTAATGATAAATAATATAATTTTTTACTTTTACTATTATAAATATACATTAAAATTTTAAAAGGGTTTATTTTAACTTTACAGTGAAACTGTCCTATTTATAATAAACTATAATCAAGATTTGCAATATTAAAAGGTAAAACCAATTAGTTATGCAATGAAAGACACCAAGTTACATTTTGTAATAATTTTCATTGTTAAAAAGAAGAAATTAAAAGCTTTATGTCTATAGTTTCAGAGGGCAAAATTATAGCGAAGGCAGTAATTTTCATTTTGTAATAATTAGTTGGCTGATGAAAACTAGAAAAACATATGAAAATCCTTTAAATTGATGCATACCATTTCATTGAATAGTTGCTTTACAGAAGTTCTAAGGTCGTCTTCCCACCTCCCTTTTTCTTCCTCCTCTGTCAGTTGCACTTGCTTCAGTTTTGGTGTGCTTAAATCTCCTTGACAGAAAGTCTTCATTTTTGGGCACTCTCTCACAATCACCTTTCGCAAGATCGGGAATTCAAAGTTGTGATCCCCTAAGCAAAAGCTTGCTAGACTTGGTAGACAACTTAGTTGCAAATACTTTACCTTCCATTTCAGCACCACCACATGCTATGATTTCCTCTATTATCTCACAATCATTTATGCTCATTCTCTCGAGTAGCATAAGGCTCTTAGCTGTTGAGCATGCTATTAAATTTATGAATCCATGAGATCTTGGAACTTCCAAATTGGTTAAATTTTTGAAAGACACCAAAGATGGCACCAAAGTCTTTAATTTGTCACATTCCAACACTTCAAGAATTCTCAGTTTACAGAAAACTGGTATGGGTTGGAATCCTTCCTCCCAGAGATTTGTCAGCTCTAGAAGTTTGGAGAACCTCAATTCACTTAACCGAGCGAGTGCCGATGCATGTTTTTCCTCATCACTGACTTCTTTAGACCAGAATTTTTGACAAAAGGAAGCATCACTCAGAACAAGCTTTTCAAGATTTGGTAATGATTGAATTAAGCAATATGGAAGAGCAGTTGATTTCCCAGGAACGCGTATGAGCACAAGAACTTTTAACTTCCTGAAACATTCTGTTGAGAGTAGTTGGCCAAGCCATGTTCCTTTCACAGTATCGTTCTGCTTCAATCGTAATTCTTTGAAGATAAGGAACGTAACCTGAATGATTAACATGTACGTTAAACAAAAACAAAGAGTTTGAATTAGTTAAACTATAAAAGGCAAAAAGGTTTTATAAGTTGTGTTCATACCTTATTGCTCTGAAACAAGGAAGGACATTCTGAAGCAAATATCTCTACTTCGTGACATTCAATCACCTCCATTTATTTGATGATGGCCATTCTGTAACATGTGTCTTAGAGTAGAAACTTTTCAATTTGGGCAATTTATCAAGTCGAAGGTATGTCCCTCTGGAAAATACAAACTTAGTCTCTGTTTCTATCATAATAGATTAAGTAGCTGTTACTGTATCTGATTGATTTGCAATGAGTACTTGTGGCTCAAACATTATTTCTTCTAATGAATCGTAATTCACAGTCTACAATTTGTCTAATTCCTCAAGTCTTTCCATCATGTTAAACGGGAAGATAGTTAAGAGTGCTTCACAGCCTTCAACCCATATACTAATTAGTTTGGAAAACAAATTCACAGTGAGTTGGTCCTGCCATATCCTTGTACAGTCCCTCATAGCTTTGATTGTCAGCATCTCTAGCCTAGGGAAGGCCACCTAAAAAGATTCATTTAATTGGATTAATAAATGAAATAGGAAAGAAATAACAAATTTTAAGTATTGAAAAAAAAACCTTATCAAGGTTTTATGGTTGAAAGAAATGCTACAATAAAAAGGAGAATTCATGGACAAATGAATGGTCTACAAGAAAAACCAGAGAATAAATCACCTTTTCATTAAAAAGAGCTGGTTTATCAAGCTCTAGGTCATTTCCTTGTGCGTTCTGATCAATTTGAGGTTCATCTCCAGCATCTTCAATTGAAGATTTAGAGATGAATGTCTTCAATACAGGACAGTTTGATAGGATTAGCTCTCTCAAGAAGGGGAATTCATTGTCAGTTTCATGGCAGAATCTTCTGAGTTTAGGAAGGCCTTGGAGGTTTAGGAATTTTAGTTGAGGGAACCACATCTTGCTCATCCTTTCATCTTCTGTCAATCCTTCCATGAAGATATCTTCTTTCATGATCTTACAGTCCAAAATTGAAAGGCTATGGAGTTGCACAAAATGTTTTACCAGGAAAGATGGAAACAGATATTTCAAATTGTGACACCCCTTTATCTTAATCCATTCCAAATTCTGAACATAAAGAGAGGATGCTAGTTGTTGGATATGCCATATCTTTAGAAGTTAATTGAGGACAGATTCAAATGGCTCAATTTGGGACACAACCTGCAGAAGTAATTCTCATGGTATGACAAACTTTTTGTTATTGGTAATAATAATAATAATAATAAAATGTAAATTACGTTACAAATCTATTTTTGATTGGCGTAACCATGTGAGTGGCAGAGTTGGCCAAAAGGATTTTGGGGATATACTCTGTATGCTGCGGGCCATATGGAAAGCAAGAAATTTAAGAATTTTCAAGAATCAGAATATGGACCCAGTACCGGTTATTGAGCTCCGACTTGACATGAAAGGTCAATATTGTATGGCTACGGATGATAGTGGAGCAGTTTATCATGATAAGAGAAGAAATATTATTTTATAATTTTAATAGTTTTAAATATATTTAAAATTGAAATTGAATAAAAATATATTATTTATTAATAAAATAACTTAATCATGTTGGACTGACTAAGATTCGGACTTAAAAATCTATGCTTAAGTCCTATCATAATCTGTTAAGACCCGCAAGCCTAAGAGATGCATGTATAACTAGAATTCTTGTGACTAGAGAGACATGAATTAAAAAGAAAACAAAATCTTGCAAAAATAGGAAAATGAATCTCCGCTAACAAACTGACCTCTAATGTACTGAAATGGATTATGCGCATATAAAAGAAAAAAAATTCCTATGGCACTTCATAATGTTAAATAAATACTAGCTGTCAATGTCCAATGGTAAGAAAACAGTAAACTGTTATGACTTATAAGTAAACAATAAGCCAGGTTTGGTCTAGTCGTTGTTTATCTTTCTTGGACTCTTAATATGTACCATACAAGGAAAACATAAAAAAGACCTGCAAAAGCATATATTATCATATATTTGGTTCAAATGTATCAAGGATGGCAAAATGGTTATAGGAAAACAGGGGAATCAAGTAGGCTGATGGAGTTTACAAATAAAATAATGCATATTAGTAGGTTGCAGTGCCATGCATTATGCACCGGAAAAATCAGTGCTGAGTTTTCTTTTTGGCCATATGAGACCGACAGTTGAAAGTTACGAAATGAAATAAAAAAACCTTTTGGATTCCAAGGACACTGGCTGACAACTAGGCAGCTGATTCATTCTTCAATTAAACAATTCAATCTGCAATGAAAAGGCATCTCAACCGTCAGTCTATAAACTGCAATTTTATCATTATGGATGAAATAAAGTAGACAAATGAAAAATTATGAAATTAGAACAGGTACTTAATTACCATCAGATGGATTTCAATTCAAGGAAAATGAGCCTGTCTCACAGACACCAAAACATGCATACTGCCTTATTCCAGCTTGGGCAACTATACGGTAACCTCAGCCACTTCAGAATTTTGGGCATTCTGTGACCATGAGGAACAACATATTGAAAGGTGAAACCAATTAGCAATGTAGTGAAAGGCGCAAAACTACATTTTGCAATAATTTTCATTGTTAAAAAGATGTTAAAAGCTTTATGTCTATAGCTTCAGAGAGTAGAATTATAGCACAGGCAGCTGATGAAAACTAGAAAAACATTGGAAAATGCTTTAAATTGATGCATACCATTTCTTCAAACATCTGTTTTACAGTAGTTTTAAGGTCATTTTCCCACCGCCCTTTTACTTCATCTTCTGTCAATTGCACTTGCTTCAGCTTTGGTGTGCTTAAATCTCCTTGACAGAAAATCTTCATTTTTGGGCACTCTTTTACGATCACCTTTTGCAAGACTGGGAATTCAAAGTTGTGATCCCCCAAGCAAAAGCTTGCCAGACTTGGTAGACAACTTAATTGCAAATACTTCAGTCGGGTAAAGACAATACCACCTTCCATTTCATCACCCCCACATGCTATGATTTCCTCTATCATCTCACAATCAGTTATGCTCATTCTTTCGAGTACCATCAAGCTCTTAGCTGTTGAGCATGTTATTAAATTTATGAATCCATAACACCTTGAAACTTCCAGATTTTTTAAATTTTTGAAAGACACCAAAGATGGCACCAACGTCTTTAATTTGCCACATTCCAGCACTTGAAGAATTCTCAGGTTACAGAAAGCTGGTATGGGTTGGAACCCTTCATTCCAGAGATTTGTCAACTCTGGAAGTTTAGACAACCTCAATTCACTTAACCGAGTGAGTGACGATGCATGTCTTTCTTCATCACTGAGTTCTTCAGACCAGAATATTTGATAGAAGGAAGCATCACTCAGAACAAGCTTTTCAAGATTTGGTAATGACTGAATGAAGCAATATGGAAGAGCAGTTGATTTCTCAGGAACAGATATGAGCTCAAGAACTTTTAGTTTCCTAAAACATTTTGTTGAGAGTACTTGGCCATGCCATGTCCCTTTCACAGTATCGTTCTGCTTCAACCTTAATTCTTCTAAGATAGGGAATGTAGCCTAAATAATTAAAACATGTCTGTTAAACAAAAACAAAGAGTTTAAATTGGTTAAATAATAAAAGAAAGAGTTTTATAAGTTTTGTGTTTATACCTCATTGACCTGAAACAAAGGTTGTTGATTTGAGATTTCAACCTGACTTGCTGCATGTGTTTCTTCAAAGCAAGGACATTTTGAAGCAAATATCTCTACTTTGTCGCATTCAATCACTTCCATTTTTTTCAATGATGGCCATTCTGTGACATGTCTCTTAGAGTAAAAACTTTTCAATTTGGGCAATTTATCAAGTCGAAGGTATGTCACTCTGGGAAATACAAACTTAGTCTCTGTTTCTACCACAATAGACTTAGTAGCTGTTATTGCATCTGATTGATTAGCAATGAGCGCTTGTGGCTCAAATATTTCCTCTAATGAATCACAATTCACAATCTGCAACTTGTCTAGTTCCTCAAGTCTTTCCATCAAGTTAAAAGGGAAGATATTCAGGAGTGCTCCACAGCCTTCAACCCATATATTATTTAGTTTGCAAAACGAATTCCCAGTGAGTTGGTCCTGCCAGATCCTCCTACAGCCCCTCATAGCTTTGATTGTCAACGTCTTTAGCCCAGGGAAGAGCACCTAAAAAAGTCATTTAATTGGGTTAATAAATGAAATAGGAAAGAAAATAACAAATTTTAAGTATAGTAAAAAAAACCTTAACAAGGTCTCATGGTTAAATTAATAGATGAAAGAAATGCCACAACGAAAAGGAAAATTCATGGACAAAAGAATGGTACAGGAAAAACAAGAGAAGAAATCACCTTTTCATTGAAGAGAGTCGAGTTATCAACCTCTAAGTTATTTCCTTGTACATTCTGATAAATTAGAGGTTCATCACCAACATCTTCAATTACAGATTTAGAGATGAATGTCTTGAATACAGGACAGTTTGTTAGGACTAGCTCTCTCAAGATGGGGAATTCATTGTCAGTTTCATCGCAGAATCTTCTGAGTTGGGGAAGGTCTTCGAGCTTCAGGAAATTTAGAGTGGGGAACAACATCTGGCTCATCTTTTCATCTTCTGTCAATCCTCCCATGAAGATTACTTCTTCCATGATCTTACAGTCCAAAATCGAAAGGTGACGGAGTAGCACAAAATGTTTTACCATGACAGATGGAAACATATATTTCAAATTGTGACACCCCTTTATCGTAATCTGTTCCAAATTCTGAACATGAAAAGAGGATGCTAGTTGTTGGCTATTCCATATCTTTTGAACGTTAATTGACGACAGATCCAAATCCCGCAATTTGGGACACACAACCTGCAGACATAATTCTCATGGTATAAAAAACATTTCGTTTCTTTAAAAAAAAAAATGTAACTCAAAGCAACGATTTCAGAGAAGGGCATGTTAATGATAAGGGATGATTAAAATGAACGAAATCAAGATTTGGATGAAGTTCATTATAAACTTCTTAGTTAAAAAAGATTACTAAAAATGAAAACTACAAGTAAAAAGCAATAAGCGAAAGATCCATATTCTATGTTTTAAATAACTTGAGGTAATAGGAAAAAACTATGCAATATGAATAAAGATTATTATAAATCAATGGACTAAGTATAGATATACTTATTTATATTACTCTCTTCACGACTTTGTGGAATTTAAATAAGAAAAAATAATTCACCCGCCGGGAACGTGTGAGTTTGATAACTTGTGGAACGCTACTATTAAGTACAAGTGTCAAAATTCAACCAATATTTTATTCACCTACTTTTTTGTTCTTGTTTTATATAGTTTACTAGTCCTAGTCTAACAAGGATGCACAAAATTGTAAAATTTCATTTATCTTTTATTTAAAAACAAAAGGACCAAAACATTTTTCCTTATCTAAAAACTCATCTTTTATGTTCTATCCTTTTCTATTTTTATTTATTTTTCATTTTCATGTTACAAGAAAAAAATAACAAAACAAGACGGTATATATAAAAAAAAACAATTAAACTATTATTTATGTCAAAAAGAGAAGAAAATGATAAAAAAAGGGGAAGAATTACTACTTTGAATTTGACCTAAAAAAGAGAAAGGAAAAGAAAAGGAGGAAATAAACCAAAAAGAAGAAGAAAAAAAAAGAATGGGACATTTTGGACTTGCCAATTAGACAATGACATGTGGCACATTACCATTAGCTTATGTATGTAGCTTTTAGAGGTAAAAGTAGGAGACCTACAAAAATTATCATCCAATCTTATGGGATTAAAATGGATCATCTCCTTTCTCATCTATACCATTCCTAGGAGGTTAACTCATCCAATATTTAGAATCTAATCCTTCCATTTTAAGTAAATAACAAATATGAGATAGGATGATCATTATCTTACTCTATTCGTTGTAATCATCGTGTGCATCAAACCTGTCATAAGTAATATTTTCTCTCTCCCTAATAGAAGTGCTGATGAGTCGATCAAATTAACCTATAGAACCTCTCACTCTAAAAGTCAAGCTTGAACTTGGTTTGATCTATTTATTTTACTATTATTTTATTATTAAAATAATAAAATTTTATTTTATAATTTTAATATTTTTAAAAATATTTATAAATTAAAATTAAAACAAGATATCTAAATTGAGCGATGGTAGATATATATATATATATATAGCATATTATTTAAAAAGTTAGATTTAAATTCGTCTTACACTCAAATAAAAAAAAAAAACCACAAAAGAGATGCAAAAAGAAATAAAATCTTGTAAAAATATGAAAATGAACCTTCACTAACAAACTGACCTTATTGCTGAAAAAAGTTGTAGTAATATCCCATTTTTCACTTCCATCACCACTCGTCTCTTTCTCCTTGTCTCTTGAATATGAAGAAGCAATTGTATTCATTTTTGGACAGTCCGCTATCCTCACTCTTTTCAACCATGGAAATTTAAGAGCTCGACTTCCCAAATAAAAACTTGTCAAGTTGGAACATGACTCAATTTTTATGGAGAAGAGGCGGGAGAATGTGAACTTATCTGTCCTTTCTTCCTCCTCAACTCCCTGTTCCATGATGACTGCTTCCATCGAGGGACATTCTTTTGCTTGTAAATCCCATAATCGCTTGAGGCTCAAAGCCATAGAGGGGGCAAAAATGTATTTCAAGCTGCTACAATTACAAACGTCCAGATGTCCAAGGTTTTTGAAGTTCAAAATTTCTTGAGGGCTCTTATTCCATATTTCCATCAACTCAGGAAATGTGTCTGAGAGCTCCAAATTATATCGGTAATGGTATCCACCCTAACAAACCCAATATATTGCAATAGTTATATATGGTACAACATAACATTAATCACAAATATAAATAACAATGATAAACCTTCTTCTTTAAAGTTATAGAACTAATATCATTTTATTTCTAAAACAATGAAAGAAGGCAATATTTCAATCAGAAAAGTAAAATTGTAGTAGTAGTTTGCAAAATAAATTGTAGCAGGAAGAAACGACATGAATTAATTCATACCTCTTCGGAGTACAACTGTTGTATGGTGGTATTAAGGTCACCAGCCCAACGCCCTCTGTGATCGTAACGTGATTCTTTTACTCTCTGTAATTTGGGAGTGGTTGAAACTCCCTGAGAAAAAACCTTCAAGCTAGGACAGCTACCCACAATTAAGTCTTCCAAGGATGGAAACTTAAAGGTATGATTCCCTGGACAAAAGCTTGTGAGGCTCTGTAAATGATAGAGTTCTAAATACTTCAACTTGCTGAAAGTGATCTCATTCTCATCTCCTTCGTTTGCAACTATTTCTGTCATCCTATTGCAGTCTTCTATCCTTATTTTTGTTAGTTGTGCCAGACTCTGGACTACTGAAGGTGTAACCAAGTTTATCATCTTGTTGCACCACTGCACTTCAAGAGTTGTGAGATTTCGAAAAGATGTTGAGGAGGGTCCCAAATTTATCGATTCATCACACCCGAAAACTTCAAAAGTTTCCAGATTAGAAAGAATGTGGCCCAGCTCTGAATCTTTCTTCCATATATATGGAAGATTTTTGCAAGAACCCAATTTTAATTTTCTAATTCGTGAGAGTGTCCGAGCATCAGGCTTTTCAGCAAGATCGCCTTCACAAGAGACTAGATCTTTGAAGTCACAACAAGACAACTCAAGGTTTTCAAGATTATTCAATCTTTGGACGAAATCAATTGGAAAATTGGAGCCATTCATCTCGAAAACTTTAATATGGTGAAAGAAGTCTGCACGAAACTGAATGCCACTTATCATTGCAATGTCATCAATTTTTGATAACCGCAATTTCTCTAATTTGGGAATGACCTTTGAAACCAATCAAATAAAAAAAAGTCAGAGTCAATGTTGCTCTACGGGCTCGAAGAAAAAAATATTTTCGGTCAGGCCGTGGATGCAGATGTATACACATAAATATGCATTAAAGGAAAAGGGTTAAAGCTATACAAGTTCAGGTTAATGATCTCCTCAGCCCATTAACATTTCCATTGCCTGGACTAATTTAATTATGCTAAAACAAATCTGATGTTTTCCAAGACCTAAAAAATTATGTGAATTAATTAATTTTATTTATAAAAAATAAAAAGCTGTAGTATTTTTTTCATACATAGGCGGTGGATAATCTTCCTATAGATATAATAGATGATCTAAATTTATGAATATATAATCTTTAAATAAAACATTATGTGATTAAATTGTGTCTTGGGTATTCATTTGAAAATTTTTTTAAATAAATAATGTTAAACTCGGTCATTTTTTGTGCAAGAAAGATATTTTTAATCTGAACAAAATGTTTAATAATATTGTAAGATTTCGTGGTGTGTAAGATAAAAAGTGACGATAATATTAAGAGAAAGATAAGATGATTTTTATTATATATTATGTTTTATGTGTGTAAAATACAATGTATAATAAGGTGATTATTTTTTTCATTAATGAGTTAAAATTACATTTTCTTTTATTCTTGATTTTGTGTCTTGTTTCTATTGGGTTATTGAACTTATCTTTGGATGTGATTGACTATGTGCGATAATAGGTTTTAGTTAGCTAGCCATATAAAGTTTACTAAGAATGGATTTGTTGTTGTTTGCTATCAAATTTGATTTACTTGATTTTGTGAGTTTGTTGCTTGCAAGGTGTTGGGATGCCTGCAAATATACTGTACTTGTAGTTTCTAGTTTTCAAGTTTGATGAGAAAAATTATTTTTAAGAGTAGAGAAACCATATGCAGTATTTTTAAACAATGTGAGAATTTGAGAGATCAGAAAATATGGATAATTCAATGGAGGTGAATTTATCAAGGGAACATTGACAAGCCAAGGGCCAATCCCCTGGCTTCGCCCCTACTGAAATGAAAAAGAGTGTAATTAAAAAACTGTGTTATAAAAATTTTAAAACGGAGTGTGATTCATATAAAAAAATGCCCAAAAAAATTTTAAAAGGTGTGTTTACTTACATACAGTAAAAATATTCAAAAATTTTTACTTATGCGTACTTTAAATTTTATATTTCAAGAATCAAATTTTTTGCATTATTAGTAGGAAAAAACATTTTTCAGTACAAATTTAATGTTTTTATAAGTTAAAATTGGAATTATTAATGGAGATATATATAAATTCTATTAAAAGTGAATTTATTTCATTTAATACATGTTTTTTAATTTCATTTTACATATGCTTTTTAATTTATTATTTATTTTTATTAAATTGGTGACAAATTGAAAGATTTATTAAATTATACATCAAATTTCAAAATTATGAATTTGTGATAGATATGGATATGCCATGCATGTGACCGTGATTTAGTTTTTTCAAAGGAAATAGTAAAGGTTCAGAATAATACCTCTTCACCTAAGAAAAGTGGTTGTCCTTTTGTGGATTCTCGTTGGTCATTTTCATTCATTCCTTGGATGCTAGGACGTCCTGAAGCTACTATTTTTATAAAAATAGAACAATCTGTCTCCAATTTTTTCAACATGGGCCAGACCATTGTATGTTGCCCTGGATAGAAACATTTCAGTTCTTCTAGGTCTGTAAGCTCCAATGAAGACACTCGAGGAAACTTGAACCTAACCGGCTGCTCCAATCCTTCCCTAAACGACACAATCTCCTCCACCCCACAACTGTTTAATGTTAGATCTTCGAGTTGGGGAAGATCTTTGGCTATTGATGCAGGAAATAGATTTTTCAGACTCTCACAACGGCTAACCCTTACCTTTCGTAGATTTTGAAAGGTAAGACTTCCTTGGGGATCTTTATTCCAAACATGCTTCAGTTGCGGTAGATCGTAAATATCCAATTTCCTTAGTTGAGAATCTAGAGGACCTGCTAGAAGTTGGTCATGGAATATCATCTTCACATTTCTCAAGCTGGACAATCTCATCTTTTCCAAGCTAGGAACTGCAGCCTACATAATTCGTGCCGATAAGAGTTACTAGAGTTAGTTCATGAAACTAGGCAAAAAAAAAAAAACCGGCAAGGAGAAAGGACAACAGGAGAAAGCAGTAAGAGTGAGAGACTAACTCACCTTCTCATTGAAGAGTGCTTGTATACTGGACTCATATTTCCCCTCCATTTTAGTTGCACTAATAAATTCTTTCAAGTTTGGACATTTCTCAATCTCCAGCACTTTCAGTAATGGGAACTCAATATTATAATTTCCTGAGCCAAATTTGATGAGATTCGAAAGATTCTCAATTTTCAAGGAGTTTAAAACAGGAAAACAAATCACATCTTTCTGTTCTTCTTTTATTTCTTCCGTAAATATTATCTCTGTTAAGCACTTGCAATCCATTATCTCAAAATGTTCGAGATGCACCAGGCTTCTAGCAACAGAGGGTAACAATACATGTTGTAAGTTATCACAGCCCTTAATGATGAAGCTCTTTAAATTTGGAAGGCAATAACAATATGTTTCTGAGAGCTGATTGTGCCATATCCTTTCGATCTTAATTGAGGACAATCGCAAGCTTTTTAATTGAGGGAACACAATCTGCACACGTGTACAATTCTTTTTCTTTAAAAATCTTGAGAATATATGGTTATATCTTAAATTGCGAAGTTCACTTTCAAAAAAAAAAAAAGAGAGAGAGAAAAAACAGGGAAAAGAACAAGTCTTTTATCTAATTCAATTAAAATATATAAAAGTGATCTCATTTTATTTTGTTACTTTTTTTTAGGAGAGGGAGATTTGAACTCATACTTTTTTAAGTAGGGAAATCATGCACTAATTAATGAGCCAAATGCTTAAGTGTTTATTCTGTTACTTATTATATCTTAGATAATAAACATTACCCTACCTAATAATCAAAACTATGAAAAAAAAAATCAGTCCCTATGGATGCAAGAGTCAAGGAATCAATAGCCAGCATCAGAGTTTGATCCTTTTGGTCCTTAGCATTAAGCAATTATGATATGAATAAAAGCAAAAGTTGGAAAATGGAATGGGAAACGAAACCTATATATATATATATATATATATGTGAAATGTATAATTAAGCCACTGAATGCTCCCTAAATAAATAAATACCTGTTTATCGAAAAGCGGCTTGGTGCTTGTATTCCCCTGCTCCTGCTGGGATGTGGAACTCATCTTGTCTTCGGAGCTAAAGCTAATGAGGTGTGGCAGATCATCAAGTGTCATGGACTGTAACTGAGAAAACTGAGTTTTCTCCGTTGCTATATACCGGACTTCCAAACCATTTTGGATATGAAGTTTCTTTAAATGTGGAAAATCTTCACCATTATTCAACTCAGCAACTACGTTCTTGATACCTTCAAGTTGATCTACATACAAATCTTCTGTCTTCTTCAACAATAGTTTCACCCCATGATCCAAGTAAATGCATGTATCTAACTTTAATCTCAGTGTTCTTGAGCATTCATGCTCATCGTACCAATCCCATGCACCATCACCTATAATAATCTTGTATCTGTCCAATTTCTCACTGAACAGACGCTCTGGAATTATTTGGGCATTCGGAATATTAACATACAAAGTGGCTAGATGAGACAAATGCTTCAATTCCTCAAGACTAGCATTTCTCCTTTCACTACCTTGTACTTCATCTTCCCATTGAACAAAGCTATCATTCAAATATAATTCTTCTAATTTGGACAAATTGGATAAGATATTTGGTGGGATGATTTTGAGTTTTGTACAATAAGTCAAACCTAACAACCTTAACCGAGTCAATTGTGCTATCTCCTTGGGAAGCTCTTTAATATCTGAGGATTCAAGGCTAAGGATTTCCAAATTCTTGAGCTTTCCAATAACGCTTATGTCTTCCAGTGCACATTCATGTAGACACAACGTGTGAAGGTTTGTTAAGAGATTAATTGACTGAGGTAGGGATGGAAACTGCATTCGAGTCAAATCTAAGACTTTGAGTCTTTCTGTTCGCCTAAAGAAGTTGGCTGGAATTTTCAGTAAACCATCATGGGCCATACTGAAAAAGGAAAGATGTGAACACTCCAACTCATCAGGAAGCTCACTGATATTAGGAGAACTTAACAAAATCACACTGCAATCCGTATCGGGCCACTCTTTTAGCACATCACCAGCTCTTAACACAAACATATGGCGGTCCCTTGATGCAATAGATATAGCAACATCCCGAACAACATCATGGATATCAAACCGTTCATCATCATAACTATCAAGCAACAAACAAGACGATTTGAGCTTACTCACCACTGTCAATACTTTATTTCTTGCTTCTTTTATTGTGTTGACACCACGAAAGGACCCCAAACCCATGATGCATTTCAACAAGTATTCAACGTGACCATTATGACCAATTAAACTGCAAAGCAAGAAAGTGAACTTGACTTCCTCATCTTCTAAATAATTGTAACTCAACTCTATAGCTGAATATACATCCGCTGTGATCCCTGTGAAGCTTCTTGATGAAGGCCTCTTTAGTTCACGCAAAGCATTCTCCCATTCAAACAAACGTTTGTTTCTCAGTGCCCTTGCCACAGTTGCGATGGCGATTGGCAGTCCCGCACATTTCTTTGCCACCTCCATAGCTGTAGGCTGCACATCACAACTTTCAACAGAGTCACCAGCCATCTTTTTAAACAGGTCCCAGGCTTCTTCTTCATTTAAAAGGCCAACTGCAAAATTTTTCTGAGTATCCATCCCACTTGATAAAACATCGAGATCCCTAGACGTTAGCAGTATCGTGCATCCCTCATGTTCATTTCCAAAAGGAATCCCAACTTCTTCAAGGTCTAATCTTGCCCAAATATCATCCAAAACAACAAGAATCTTCTCCTCTTTTTTCAATCTTTCTCGAAGTCGAAGTGCCCTTCCGACCATACTCTGTTCCTCAAATTTTAAACCCAATAAGTCTGCAACTTGGTCTTGAATTTTCTCAACGTCAAGTGTCTGAGTTACGGTTGCCATAACTACAGAATCAAATAACTTGCCCTCCTTAACCAGTCTAGCAACTTCTTTGACTAGCGTGGTCTTGCCTACGCCACCCATCCCGTGCACCCCTATAATATTAATACTAGCATCTTTCAGTGCCTCCATGATTCCATTGAAAACCATCGTTCTTGACTCGAATGCTTCGAAACCTTTAACAGATGCGAGAATGATACCTTGTGGAGCTGCACGATACGAAACCCTGTCGAATTTGCCCTGTTCGAGTAGCTCAGCGACAGCCTTCGCCTCCTCTTCGGCATCCATGCTAAGCCTGTAACGAGTCCAGAAACTAGGACACAAGCCAAGGAAACACTTTTTCTTTGCTTTTTCTTCATCCTGAATTACTTTCTCTACTTCTTCAGCGATCTTGTTGTTGACAGTAGTCAGCCACGTATCGACGTCGTGCTCAATCTCTTCCCCATTCCTCTTAGCAGTATCAACAGAATGCTGTACTCTTTCCTTTGCATCCTTCAGGCTCTCAACCTGATTCTTGAGGGTCCTGACCTGGTTCTCATGATTGCAAAGGTATCTGAAATGGTTTTTGATGGTAGAGATCGTGTACTCTGCAGCCATAGTGACAATGGAGCTAACGATTTCCATTTCGTTTTCTTCCTTTTTTCTTTTTTTTTTTCCTTTTTCTAAGTTGTGAGAAGCACACTGAATAAAAAAAAAAAAGCTATGGGTAAAACAAAAAAAAAAAAAAGAAGGCAGATAAAAACAGGAGAGGAAAACCAGAAAGGGAACTCACAATAAGGAGAAGAAAGAGAAGCCTCTTATACAGCAAGCAACACCAAAGCAATAAAAACAAACCATAGGGCCTAAAATTGGAAGGGACTGTACTGGCGTACCTCCACAAAAGATGAGAAATTTCCCCTTTCTTCACCTTCCCTGATGAGATTGAACAAGAGATGGATTCTTGAAAAGATAAGGTCAGCAATCAATGCTCCCAACTATGCACGAGGAAACTAAGAATTTTTTCTTTATATCTAGTCTAGATAAAAGAGCAAAGCCAGATTAATATGACAAAGGGCGAAGAAGATAGTTTTATTTTTCGATGAAATATGTGATGGCCAAGCAACCGACTGTTCAGGAAGTCAATGCCACAAGTGAAGAAAGTGCAGAAACTGCCAAATGCCTTTAAATAAAAAAAAGGAAATAGTCTATAAATCTTACTTCTATTATATAAACCAAATGTGTCGGAAGGATTGGACCTTCAGGAGCATCATAAGTGACCAGTCTCGTAGTATTTGTATTGCTTAGACATGACAGAGTATCAATGCTCTACTCAACCACCCCAGCAAATGTCATGAATTGCATCTTTAAACAATATTTCTCAAACAAAAAGTCACATCCTGATCACTTATGATGTGCCATGACACCATGCTTCAATCTGTAAAAGTTAAAAACTCTGAATCTCTACCAACATTTTTTTATATCAATTTCCACTAATAATAAAATTTTACATAGGTTAATATAAATTAGCTTTAGAAGTAAAACTTTTTTATAACATTATATATAACTGAATTCGGATTTAAAGTATGTTAAAAGTGATATCTACAATTTATCCGAATTTATGTTAACTTTTACAAATCTTACCCTAATTCATCCCATAATTAAATATAAAATACTCTAATTTTATATTATCGAATTAAATATATACAAATATCTATATAATAATAACTTATTTACATCCCTAATAATTATTATTACAAATAATATCCTCTTTCTTGTTTCACATGATCAAGAGTTAAGCAGGGAGTTATGTGTCTTTATGGCCCTTGTTGTCGTATCTTGACCTCAAGGTGAGAGTAAGGTCATCAAGACCTTTGTGGCCCTTGTGGGGTGCCTCTAATGAAATGCCCTGGCTGGGTGTGTCTCTCACGCAAAGGCCATGAATGTGAGTTTGATAAAGACTCTTTCGTTAATAAACTCATAATATTTTTCGAGAAAAGGAAAATGAGTTAGGTACGGAGTAAACTTTGAAAAATATATTTGCCAATATATATTGCCTGCATGAGTATTAATATAGTATTAAATTTAACGATGCGATTTTTACAATATAAATTTAACAAGAAACTCTAAAAAAGTTTAATAATTAATAATTATTGCAACGATATAGCTTGATTTATTTTTGTATACATATATATATATATATAAAAATGAAAATAATATAATTGCTTATGATAATAATTGTAAACTAACAAGTTCAAGTTTCTTTCTCCTCTCTTGTATTTATTTTATACATAGAGACTTGAATTACAAATTAAAATAATTGGGACGAAAGTGGCGTCTGCCATTACACAAGAGGCGATGGAGACCCTCGTTTGTGGCCGACACTGATGAGTAAAGCTGGGTACAAAAAGTGAGCAGGTGCATTTGAAAAAGAGGTTGTGAAAGCCAAGTTTATGGACCCTATAATGTGAAAACAAGACTTTTGAGTTTTAGATTTGAAGGCTGTCGGTTTCTTGGAATAAGACGTGTTTTGAAAAATCAAGAGTGGAAATCACAGATAGATTCATACTACAGTATTTCAGGGGAATTGACTTATTCATAACAAATGTGTATGCTGCATGATAAAAGGAAGCTATGGATAGAACTGTTAAGAGTTAAAATTAGAAGAAAATTAGAGAAAGGGGAGGGCAGATTTCACCTCTTTAGTTTTGTTTCTTCCTCATCAGCTTTAAGTCTGATATACTAAAATACTGCCATTTTATTTGGATTCTTTGATGCTTCTAATTATAGGTTATTAGCAGTATTTTCTTATATTCTTAATTTGCTCAACTCTTATAATTTGAACATGTGTGTATCCGCTTTATTCTTTACTTATTTTCTACCTTATGATTGTAATATTTAACATTCTTTCTAATAAATTTTTCTTTGTTCAGATATATTATTACTATCAATTATTGTTTTGCAACTTCATTATAACTCAAATTTTGTTGTTAAGTACATAAAATATTTTTAAAAAAATTATTAGTATAGATAATTTCATTGTCTAAACTCTATCTTGAATCAATCAAATTGATTGAAAAAAATTCAACAACTCAAACTTATGGAACCTAAATTCAAATAAATCAATCACTTGAACTTGTCACCCCAAAGCCAAAACATTTGGAACTCGAATTGACCAAAACCCAAATTCAACCAAACTCAAAAGGATTTTAACTGGGAAAACTAACTCTGTTGCGTCAATCTAGTCTTCTCTTTTAAAGTAATTTCCAACTCCTTATAAAATAGTTTCCATTCCTTTGCAATAAAACATTGATGTGTTTTTATCTTATTATGATTTCATGTTATAAGGTTTTTCATATTATAATACCAGGGCCATTTCAGTATCAAAGCTCTGTTCAAATAGCACTGTCCACTCCTGTTTCATCTGAACTTTCCCTCTTTTTCAGTGCTCCATTCTCTGTTTCTTCCTTTCATTTGGTTGCAGTTTCGTTGCTGGGATTGCTTACTTTACTCCCTGTTCAACAAAGCCACCCCTCAACCTCCCCACCCTCCGCCCTCTAATCTCTCCAATCCTTCTTTCTCCACCTTCAACTTCTTTCTCCACCATAAGAGGAAAACCAGGTAAAAATAAAAAAGAAAGGACTCTTTGGTGTGCATATTAGCATACACACCATCAGGTAGCCGCTGATAAGAATATGTAATTTAAGACAAACGTACGTATAACCTCAACTGATTCCAAAATATAAACTTGTTCATTCTAACTTCAAAAGGAATTTTTGCATGAGCTGCATTTGTTCTTGTCTCATATTTAGATTCCTATTCAACTCAACTATATCAAATTTCAAAAGTGTTGTCAATTTGTTATAAGGGACTGTTCATCCAAATATGTGGCATGTAATAGTACTGCTAGTCTAAAAGTAGCATAATGTGCGAAGAAAACAATTTTAGGAAAGAAAAAAGGAAACATAAACAAAGACAATATCATGAAGAGCAATCTCATGTCTATGATATAAACAAACAATATTATTTGATGAATCATGTCAATGAGAATAACAAAGAACATTATTTGATGAAGTTTATATTATTTAGAGAGCCAGAGAGAGAGAGTTCTCAAATGTGCAACCTGTGAAGATACATAACATTAAAAGCTAATAAAAAAAGTCTCCATGTCTCAAACTATGAAACTAAATGCAAGACTAGACAAAAATAAGGGACCAAGGGTTTCCTCCATTAAGAGTTAGATGCTGGGAAAAAATGGGAAGTTAGAGATGTACAATCCAAGAGGATACATAGAGGTCACAGCTGATCTTAAATAACATGAAGTCTTGTCTCAAAAACAAAAGCTAACAAATTTCAAAGGCAAAGTAAAAACCACGCCAATATTAATTCTTGAAAACAACCTAAGCATTTAAGAGATGAGCTCTATTTAATATATCACAACCTGCTCATCGAGCAAAATTCTTTATGGCGTACTAATTAATTCTGTTCAGTCTTCAGATATGCATTTAATCAAGAATTAATTCTATTGGAAATGACTTCTTTCAATTTCACTACCCTGTCACATTTGATGCCACCACATGATAACTCCAATCATTTTAATGAATATCATGTAAAAGTATTATGTAGAAACATTTGTTCACCAAAAAAAAAAAAAAGTACTAGTAAAAACATATTGTTCTATTGGACTTTAAATCCCTCAAGGCATATAACAAGTTAGTAATACCTTTTTAATTAATGACAAAGAATGTGAGAATTAATATTGAGACGTCAAGGATGTTGCACCATACGAAATAGAGGAATTCTAATAAAAAAATGAGTGACTCGTTGCTTGCACATGATTTTAGTGAAAATGTAATGTTTGGGGTTGTGACTAGTATAATAATTTATATATAAAAAAGAAAGAGTTGACATAAAAGAAACTTGAATGGTTTACCATCATCCATTCAAGTGAAAAGGCATTAGGCAAGATAGCTGACATAAAAATAGTGAGGCGAGTATTTTCTGGCTGTAGATAATGAAAAATACAATGGAGTGAACATTCAATTTACCATAGATGTCCTCTTGATTTCTGGAAGCAGTTTACTTGCATGTCCTACTTAAATTTCACCTTAAAGCTTTTCTATTCTTTTCTGGTACAACCTCAGAGCTATTTTAGAACCCAAATACATCTTTAAGAACTTTATTGCATGATGACAATACCAGTACTTCTTAAACAATAATTTACAATTTGCCTGAAAAATAAAAAATAAGTTATAGAGTAATTGATTATTCTGATAGCATTAAACAGCGACTGAAGGGGAAGCATACTTAATTTCTCCCAGTGTTTCTGTCCTCCAACATTACTTTTCCACGATACATATGCGTTGTGTAATGAAGCTAAATGTAGCAATCTATCGTAGTTATGAATGAGCTTGAGAAACTTCACCTTTCTCACCCAGTTGGGTCTCTTCTTCAGAATTTCTGGCAGATGCTTCCATCTTTAATCCCTGCATGTCTAGTTCAGGGATAATTGGGGGCTGTATTCTTCTTGTAACTGTCATCTTCAGCCCCTCTGTTGTGTGGATAGTTGCTCCAGTAGTCATCTCAACCTGCATATGAATTTGATTGATCCTTCATAAGGAATATCTATTTCCTTTTTCAATTTCTATTGATATTATGTAACATCAACCTAGAGCCAATTCATGTAAAAGCACAGTCAAATGATTATGGCACACTCAAAAGAAAATCAATCACATCTTGGCTAGCTAGTGGTATTTACTTCATAAATTGCCGAGAATTTTCTAATCAAGTGCAACAAATTAACATAGCTTTTGCACTGGCTATACGCTTTGATTATATGCAGTTGTTTCAAGATTCAGGTAGTCAACAATTCTTATTCTCTTCAGCCAATGTTGTTAAATATCAACATGTGAACTTTACGAAAAAGTTTCAGTTCAGGTTCTATGTCCACTTTCATAAAAGAATAAAAGATAAAAGAGTAACGCCAGACTGTAGTATAAATGTCATCATCACTTATAAATGTGCCATGAATGTTTGAGAGCAATTGAAACTATTGATGTGGTCATTCAACTATCTTAATGCAGAAGCAACAGGGTCAACATTTGAAGTTCTCCGGCATGGGAAAAAGAGGGATTCATCCAGGAAGTCATTAATTTATTCACCAAAGGAGTATTTCGTTTGTTTCATTTATGGAAGGGTATTTTAGGAAGTGTGTCTTAATCTTGGCATAAAAATGAATTTCCTCGGTACGGATGGAAGCACTTTTAGGGGTTTGAAAATCCTGAGTTGGAGAGCCAGCAGCAGTTTCAGTTATTTGACTATTGCTACTTGTTTCTATTGTTGGTTTAGCAAAAAAGTATCATTTAATGCCCTCCAGCCTGTTTCTTTTCTTGCTACACTTAAAATTTACGCATAAAAGTTGTTGCAACTAACAAAATGCACAAGGTAGGTTACTTACTGGAGGAGCTCCAAGCGCCATTTGAAAGTTAAATCGTCGAACAAGCATTGCAACTGCTACAACATTCTGTAGATCAAAATAACTCTGCTTCAGGTTCTATAATACCAATCACTAGTGACCAAAAGGACAGAATTTATCAGCCTAAATAGATCGTCTAGAACAAATAAGTATTGAACCCAATACATAAACTTAGCTACTAACAAGTTTTGATATTGACTGAAAATTTTTTCATACATATTTTTTGATAAAAATTACCTCAAAAGATGCGAACATGTCTCCTACACATTTCCGAGGTCCTCCACCAAAGGGCAAGTAACTGAGTAAGACAAGAGTGCTAGTATCAGTAATTGAAGGAAAACTATGACAGTAACTGAATTGAAGAACAAGGAACTCAGTGAGAAAAAATATTAACTGATAACTCAGCCTAACTAAACAGTCGAGTGATTTATGCTAATGTTGTGACCATATGGTTATTAAGTGAAGAAAGAAAATTTAGGTGGAAAACATTTAGGCAATAGAGTGGGTATTCACGCTGTTAAAGTTGCTTGATAAACCTAGCAAATGCTTCATGCAAACACAATAGTTCTCCAAAAGTCTGAGGAAATAACTGACCCGGAACCAAAGATGCTCCTGAAGTGCACTTGCATGACACACACACATTTGAGCATACACATGTATAATCGTAAAATTTGTATTATTGAGGATGGAATGTAAAACTTGATTAGACAAGTTTTCTTGGAACAAGAAGCTGAAGTTATCCTTCAAATTCCACTTAGGCCTGTCAGTCAGAGGGATTTTTTGATTATATCCTTCTTCAGGAAAATTCTCTGTTAAAAGTGCTTATTATTTGCAAAACTCATGCCATGAGGGTGGTGGTATAAAGGATTCAGGTTTGGAGATTTGTAGGAGGATGCGTACTCTTGACGTCCCTAACAAGATTAATCATTGCTTTCGGAAAGCTTGTCCTGGCATCCTTCCTTCGCGTACCAATCTTAGAAGAAGTGGTTTGGCCATTAGCTGCTATTGTGTTGTTTGTGAGAGTGAAGAGGAATCTGTGTTGCATGATTTGGTTGAATGCCCTTTGGCAACTTAAGTTTTGAATCCTCAATGTCTCCATTTTAGTGCTAACTCTTTTATTGGTGGATGATAGTTATGTTGGGTCTTCTTGATAATCAGCAGTGTGTTATATGGCAGTGGTATTGCGGCTTTTAAGGGGCAATAGAAATAGAACTTGGTTTAAAAATAAATGTTGTATTCCCTCCTTGGTTGTTGCCGCTAGCTTTCATTCAGTTGAGGAATTTTCTTGATTGAGCTGGTTGATGTTAACAGCAGTGTTTTACCGGTTTCACAATGGAAGAAACTGGCTGATAATATTGTAAGGTTAATGTTGGTGGTGCTGCGGGTAAGAGTATTTCAGGGATTGGTGTAATTTTTAGAGACAGCCGGGGTGAGGTTCAAGGTGGTTCATTTTTGCAGGAAGGCCCAGTATTGGATGCAATTAATATTGAAGATTAGGCCTTTTTGCACAGTGTTGCTCAAGAACTTGGGTGCAGTAGGTTCCATTTATTAAATGATTCTTTATTATTAGTGCAGGCTATAAATAGCACTAATGACTATCTTTGGGATTGTCGAGTCTTGATGGAGGAGGTTAAGGCGTGGTTGGGAATGTTTCATAGTTTTCTTGTGTCTAATGCTAAAAGGGAGGCTAACTGGTTGCCCATCACCTTGCCTGACATGCTTTACCTCATGCTGGTTTACATACTTTTGTAGAAGAGTATCTTGCTTTTATTGTACTTGGAAGACAAATCTTCTCCCTATTAATGCAATTTCCTATTTCATTAAGAAAAAAAGAAAGAAAAAAGAGAAATAATGCAATTCTAGATTTCTGTAACCAGTCCTCAAATACAGTTAATGAAACCACCCCAGGCTTTCTGAACTGGTTTTTCAGTTCTACCTAACTACATCTTAAATTTCTGAAAAAAAAAAGGATTTAATAGAAATGAGAAGAAATTCATGGGCATCTCATCTAAAACAAAAACAATTGACGCAATAAGCAAAGTTGTGGTTATTTGTTACCAGAAATTTTGGTTCGTTTCATTAGGATTCGATCCATCTAAAGGCCATCTTTCAGGATTGAACTTCTCAGGATCTTCCCAGAGACTTGGACTATGATGCAGATTCCAAACAGAGATAAAAATATCTTCACCCCTAAAAGTAAAATTCATGATAAAGTTAGAAGTTCAGAAAAATTCCGATTTCAAAAGTCAACATATCATAGCACTTGCATGTAGAGCTCATGCTAAAGCAGCAATATACACATAAAAGATATCCATATAAGCAAAAATTTAGTTACCACAGAGGCTCCCGCCCCCACTTGCTTTCTAGCAAAAGCACTCACATATAGACAAAAATTTGTAACAGATGATGAAAAAGAATGCACAAGTCCAGAATGAGAGCTTCTAAAATCAAATTACAAACACCTCAAAATGATCAGAAGATGTTTTATATTCCAATATCATTGCAATTATCTTACAGCAAACATATAGATGTATAAAATAAAATATTTATTCATGTCTCCAATTTTTGTAGGAGCAATCTGGTAATAATCAGGTAACAAATATTAATAAAAATCCACTTAATCTATTCTTAGAAGTTTATGTTTATTGATTTGACCAAAGAACCCTGTTTTCTCCTACTAATAAAAAGAAAAATAAGGTCAGAAAGCTATTTTTGGAAGAAGATGATTGTGGATGGTGTATGCACACTGGCCAATAGGATGATAATGAAATTGATTTTATTAGGGTTTGACCTTTTTATTGGGTACTTTCCAAGCACATCATCCTCAAGAGAACGACGAATTAAGACAGGTGGCTGCGGGAATAGCCTCAAAGACTGCACAAAGGGTAGACAGAATCATCACCATATGAAATGCATTAATGCATAATATTTGATGAAACATGGAACAGAATAGAACTAATTTTCTTACTTCATTAATAACTCTAGTAGTATACTTGAGTTTCTTCATGTCACCTATTGTTGGAAATCGATCGCCTAGAACAGAGTCAACCTAGGAAGTTCAATGCAATAATAAATAAGAAAATGAAGCTGTGAGATGGGTTATATAGAATTGAAAGCTTAGACTAGAACTTTTGATACCAGTATTGCACAAAAATTTTAAAGATACCTCATCCTGGAGCTTGGATACAACACTAGGTTCCTGTAACCATCAGGGAAAAAGAAATAATGAGAACTTGAAATAAGTTGTCATTCAACCATGATATTTTTTTTAAGTCCATCAGAAAAATGACTCAAACGAGGGAGATCCTTGTTCCGCCAAAAACCATCAATTAGCCACAATCCAAAAGCAATCCTGCAGGCACACCTCAAAACCCTACTATCTACTGCTACACCAAGCAATCTTGGCATAGGTTGGAATGTGTATTAGTTATTCTAGCTGTACAACCATTCATAAGTATAAGTGATGCTATAACATCAACCTAAACAAAACTTATGCACAGCAAGGAAAGATTACAGCATGATCAGTTCTTATACCCATTAATATCAAGGAGAAAAGCATAAGGAAACAAACATGCATAATCAGAACAAGAAGATTGTCATATGCTGTTCCTGCTATTGGAGTATGTCTTGAATTCAATTTCTTTCAGGCCCAAAGGTAAAATTTCATGTGCCTATTCATGAGTAAAGCAGGAGCAACCCAATTACTATATTCTTATTAATCTAATGTACTTCAAAAACTTAAGAGTGCTGCGTTACACTGGGTTTATTGGGACAAGGATTTGAAAAACTGTAGGTCATATAGAATCTATGCACCATCTGTCCCATGAATGTTGATCAGTAGATCAAACCATGTAAATCCCTATGTCCTTGTGTTTTACATTCTTGCTGCGTTAATTCGTTGCCACAAAAATCTACATTTTACACATATTCTCATAAAGTTGCTACAGGAAGTAGTCAATGATAAAGGTACAGAAATTAGAACCAAAAGTTATTATACGGGCAGACCACAAAGAAGAAGAATTAAAATGTCACAGGAGAGGGCATTTAGGTCCTTTTTCTCCAACAACTAATCTTGAATTACCTTTGATAAAAGATAGAAGGTCCATGTCAAAACAGCAGCTGATGTTTCATGCCCAGCTATAAGCAGTGTCATTAGATCATCACGGAGTTGCTTACTAGAAACCTGCCAAAATTTTGAATGAAATCTTAGATTGCACAAGCTGATAATTCACCAAATTGATCATTATTAATACATACATCGTCTCCCGATGCCAGCAGGAAGTGAAGAATACTAGGATCTTGTTCATTCATGTACTCCTCATGAAACTGTAGCTCTTCTTCTTCCACCATCCTCTGAATATTGCAGATATTAGATTTAAAGGAGAATAAAAGAAAACGTTTAATCAAGTCAATGCAAAGATTAATTGCCATGAGATATGCAAACCAAAATGTAAAACACACAGCAACCAAACAATTAGAATGAACCACACACAAAAGTTTTAAGCTTACACCGATATATTAGAAAGGAGCAGAGTACAAAGTTAAGAAAATTTCCAAATCCCAGTTACATATGTCAATTAAGAATGAATCCCAGATAAATTTGTAGCAAATTTCACTTGGTTTGCCAATACATGAAAAAGGTAGTGAATGTTCATAGAACCAAAAAGAAATCACAAGTTCTTTCAAATTCAAAGACTGTGACGCCATTATTGTCCCATTGAAAAAGGTACCCAGGAAAAGAAAGCTGGAGTCGCTTTTGGTGATTGTCACCAGCCTTAAGACTTCTACTGATTTGGCCTCATGCTTACTACTCCTGCATAAAACTAACCCACTAGCCACTAAATTTATTCAAATTGGCTCATATTATATCAACATCCAACCTATGCATCTCCAATAAAATGCCAAGAATGATCCATTCAGAGATTTTCCAGGTCTGACATTTCCCTAACTACATATGAAGGATATATCCAGTACTTGGTATCACTGCAAAAAGTTATGAATGCACCATCATGGTGTTTAAGACAGAATAATCCATGTTTACACAAGCACATATATCATTGCATGTAAATAGTGATTATGGAGGGCATAAAGGTAAAAAGCATATTTTATCTCACTACATTTACTAATAACTTTACCTTGCATGTCGCAATTAGATCATCAAGTACATCATTAATCAATTTGAGCGCTTCTGCAACCTTCCTTTGTCGTGGTGAAATGTCTTTCCAAATAGGGATCTCCCAGGTTGGAATTGGTGAGACACTTCGATCTTCTGCTTCCCGCAAAACAGTGTAAACAGCCTGTCCTAGCCAAAATACAGACAAATATTTCAGATGGTTTTAACAAAAATGTAAACAAAACTCAGTCAAAATTTCAAACAAAATGTGCCAGCCAAAATGTAGATAAGAAGAGAAAATACCTCAACTATTCCGGTATCATTTGTTAATGAATCAAAATCGTAATTAAAGACTGCCTTTCCAATAATGTCCAACGTCAGATGGGAGAAAAGTGATTCCATTTCTACATCTTCCCCATCAGTTGCGGCATCATCTAGTTTCTCGCAAAGCCTCTCAGTAGCTTGTCCAAAAAGGCTAATCATAGCTGCTACATACTAAAAATTGAAAAACAAAAATAGAAAGAAATATCAGCAAAAACTTATTTTGTAAAAAGAAAAATTCAATAAGTACACCTCTCATCTAATGATTTTGGGATGGTGAACACCCTATTAGTAACTTTTATCTTCTTTTATGTAAGTCAGCATGTTTATACTCCTTTCCATTATTCTTTTGAATCTGTGAACTATGCCTCTAACTACTAACAACTCTGAAATATTCCATCACATGGTTCAAGCACATACTCAAAGGTACCAACCACTAAGACTTGCCACACATGCTTACAAGTGCAAAGACATAACGTAGAATTGTTCATCTTACATGCATCAAATTTAATGAATCAAAAGTCAAAGTAATGGGAGAAGATGCAATATAATAAAAATCATTTTTTTTGGTTAAAAACATTGGACCCATAAATTAATTTAAACACCTTTTGATGCAGTGCTGGGACTATAGCACGTCTTCTAACACGCCATATCTCACCATCAGCAGGAATGAGTCCCTTGCCCATGACAAATTCCAAAATTTCTGCTAATACACCCTTCAGATTAAAGAGATCAAGGATGAGACAAAAGATAAAGCACATTAGCCCATAAAATATGCAGGAAAACAAAAAAAAAAGAATAATATAATTTACCTTTGAATAAGACTTCGAGTTGTCCCTCAGTATATGCTTAGCAATGGAAGGATCAGATACAATCAAAAAGGACTGCAGCAATATAACCAAATGATCAACAGGAAATTTATGATTATTCTCAGACAAAACTATATATTGGACAAAATTTTAAGCAGAAAAAAAAAAAAGACACAAACCTTTGGTCCAATGGTTAGCCTGAAAATCCCACCATAAGTGAGATACAGCTCATATAAAGGTAGAAAGAAGGCCTCACTCCGGATGGCCTTGATGGTCCCTTTCGCCTCTGGAATCTTAGGATAATCTCCACCATCATCAACCCATTTAAACAAAAATTCAAGAACCTCAATAGGAACACCTAGTTTCAACAAACCATTCCCCAATAGAGAAGGAAAACTTGTTCCCAGAAACAAAAAGACATAACAACAAGTAAATTAATTGAAATTATGAAAATAAAAGAAAAGTATAAAAAATCAGAAACAGAATATAGACTAAGAAGGATGTATAGCATTTACTAAAATAAATACATTTAAGCCGGCCCATATGAGATGGCAGATAACAAAAGAATTTTGAAATACCAAGATGATTCTCAACACAATTGATTGAAAAACTAAGAAAAATATGTAACATCCACTTTTCTTTGATGAAAAATAAAAGATGCCCAGAAGATTATTAAGCATTACAATCACAATTAAAGGGTAAAAATAGAAACAAAAGAAAAAAGTGAATGACAAATTAAACAAGCAAGTACCCAGATTTCTGAACAGTGAATTCTCCGGAAGCAATCCTAGCAGACAACTCAGCCCGGCGTTTCCCTTTACGCAAAAGTTCGTTACTTTTAACACCATTGTCAACTGAGTCAGGCTCTCTCCCGTCAGACGATGACCCACATTTTACTATTCCAAACTTATATATCCCTAAAAAATTCCCATAAAACAAGTAAAAGGAAACTTTAAAACAAAAATCACAAAAAAGAAACAAACAAACAACCAGAAATTCTACAGCTTAAACATACCATAAGGTTTTAAAAGGAATGCTGCTGATTTGGGTTTGGTTAAATGAAGTTGAAGAGGAGGAAAAGCTGGAGTAGCAGCCATAATTCATTAAGCTGCCAACGAATTTGGTTATATTGTTTGCATATAAATATATACAACACTTTCAAATAAAAACTATAAATATATCTATATATATAAACAAAAAAAGGGGAGCGAAGATAAATAATAGAAGAGGTGAAATGTGGCGGCTTTTCGAACCCTCAAACTCATCTTCTGTCCTAACCGGTAAAAAACAGGAAGTGCGAACGAGGAATCTTTTCAGTAGTGTGCTGCAATGGATAACGTTAGATACCGATTCATCGAATCACCGTTTTCCAACCCATCAGCCATAGTTTAGTTTATAGCTATTCCCTCTGTTCATTATTTGTTTTTTCCTTAGTCTTTGGCCACGCAAGACAGTTGGCAAGTCGTAGCCATTGTCAAGTCCATTTCATTTGTTTTTATGTTGTTTACTTTGTTTTTCCTTTTTTTTTTTTTTGTGTATTTCATATACTTCATTCCCCACCTCTAAGTCCATGCGGTTAAGATTATAAGATTTTAATGTGAACATTTTATATTTCAATTTTTAAAAAAGAAAAATGGAATTTTTACTACATGAGACGGTTACCATTTATTTAATTCAAATCTTTTCTAATATTCAATCACCAAACAAATGAAATATGTTAAGACTAATTGCGATCCATAATTATACAGTCATTAATTGAAATTGTGTAATGAATTCAAATATCAAATATGAATTACTGAATAGTATGGATGTAATTCAAATATCGAGAGTGATTCTTTTACTTTAATAATATTTTTTTATTTGATTGAATTCTATACGATTTTTTATTAACGAAATAATATGATTCTAAATAAAATGTTTTTCTTTGGTACTTGATCTAGCTAGTGGTGGTGGGTGGTGGTAGTTTTGTTATTTGATCAACAATTAGTGTTGATTTCTTTTCTTGATAATTATGCAAATTTTGAGAATTAGATAAAGCATTTGCATACTTGGAGAAAAATGAGTGCTAGAAGGTTATACTGGAAATATATAGATCTTTAAGATTTATTATATTCTTAAAGATAATAATAATCTAATATTTTGAAGTTGTTATAATAGGATAAATATATGTTGTGGAAGAATTTGCAGGAAGCAATTGCTTAAGTTTACTTTTATATGCCACTAATATAATATGTAATTAATTTAGAGTAATGTCATAGATTTAATGCCCTTGAATGTGAAACTGAAAACTAGACTTCCATATCTCTCTAACAAATTTTACTAGATTAAATCATGACCTTCTAACCCTATATATATATTTCAATTGTCATAATTACTAATCTTTAAAATTTTTTGTCATGACTTACTTATCGAATTTTTTTTTAACAAGGTAAATTACTTTATTAATTTAGGGGTTTGTTGAGTGCTAATGTAGCAGGGATTGGAAACTATTTGAAGGGGTCTTCATTGAAGTGTGATCAGTCTACTTGCCAGCCATTAAGGCTGGGAAAGTCTTCTGCCAAACTAAAGGTTAAAAACTATAACCACCATATGGCAACTTGTCATTAATGATTAATCCATTTGTCAGTAACAATGTACAAATGCTATCAATTTTTTTTTCTTTTGACTTTACCATCTCCATTGTAGATCAATGTGAGCCAATCGCCATTAACAGATCAAAACGATGGATATATTTGTCAATGACTCGGTTTTCATGAACAATAAGCAAGCCCAATAAATAAATTTTAAAAAAACAAAATAAAATAAAATAACCACCAAATCATGCTTCAAATAAATTAAACAAGCAACTCACAAATGTAATTCTAAATAAATTAAAAGTTGCTCCAAAGAAACAATTTAGTTCCAAATGAGTTTTGAAGTTTCTAACTTCTTTTAAAATTTGTTTTAGATATTCGACTATTGGATTAGTTCCAATAGTCAAGAGAATTGTGACCATAATTGCTAGAAATTAGGTTTTGCGAGCCATAGTCTTGGATCCACCATCATCCTTCTTATCACTATCTTTGTTTTCTGCTGCCATGAAGATCAAGAAAAATGCAATCCACATTTATATTATCACACTGCATCAATTTCAACAGCAAATAACAAATATGAGATCAAAAGTTAAAATATTAAGCAAATGAAACATACCACTTTCACGTCTTGCAAGGAACATTCTTAAATGGGGGTCGATCGGTAATCCCATAGCTTCATATGATGGATCATACACTTTGTTTGGGATAGCTTTGGACCTATAAATAGAATGGTCATTAATTTTTTTTTTTATAAAGAAGATACCTTGAAGGAAAAAGTATCCAAACATTATTCAGAATTATGTTATGTTAATTTAAATACAGGTGTTTAACATGTATTGTCTGTATATCTATGTGTAAAAATGTGTACTAACATACTCATATGTACATACATACATATGTAGACAAACAAACACACACACATATATCATTAGATAATTAATCCCCATGAATTCTAGATACCAAGTTCAGGATAAGAATATTTATGATAAAATGACTAGTTTAGAGATAACATAATACCTTGAACTAGAAGCAGTAGGAACACTTTTGTTTTGGGCTTCATTTTTAGGAGTGTTTCGGCCTTCATTATCAAGACTCTTTTGACCTTGATTGCCAAGAGTGTTAAGACCTTGATTTCTAGGACTCTTTGACCCTTGATTGTCAAAAGTGTTTGACTCTTGATTCCCAAGACTCTTTGGACCTTGATTACCATGAGTATTTTGGCTTTGATTGCCAGAACTATTTTCGTCTTGATTGCCTTGTCCGGGTAACATCCAATTGATGAAAGGAATCTTTGGGGTTGGTGGAGTGCTATCCTGCCTAGTCATTTTCCTCTACAGCAATATTAAACAATTTGGATGTTATTCAAGTGGAGGTTAAAGACAATGTGCAAATAACTAACCAAAAGAACTGTCAGATAGCAAGAATCAAGAATAATACTAGGTAAGAGATTTGGTATTCAGAAAGAAAAAAATAAAATCAAAGAAACAAATTAAATACCTTATTAGGGTTGGCAGGAACAATGACATCAAATTGAATAGGACTTGATATTCCTTTAGTGCTAGACCCAACTTCCTATTAAAAAATTTACATAAATATAAAGCTTTGAAAAAATATATGGACAGTAAAAGATATTTCTTGAATCACCACGCTAGTATTTTCTTTTAAGAGGTGCTAATCGCTAAAAATACATAGTGTCGTACATACTTGTCGAATTGGTAACTTTACTGGTTGAAGTTGAGGAGTGCCATTTAATGGCATAAATTGATTCAAAAATGTCTGGAATCCAAGTCCTTGAGACCTTTAAAAGGAAAAGAAAATTAATATATTTAAATTATCAAAAATACAGGTGTTTAACATGTACTATATATATGTATTTATTAATATGCGTACATGCGTATACATATATATGAAATATTAGACGTATTAGATAATTAATCAGCATGAATTCTAAATATCAAGTTCAGAATAAGAATATTATGATAAAATGACTGGTTTATAGAAAACAAATACCTTGAACCAAATGTAGTTGGATCGCTATTGTTTCGGCATTGATTGCTAGGAGTGTTTCGGCTTTGATTCTCAAGGTTCTTTACGCCTTGATTGTCTATAGTGTTTGAGCCTTGATTGCCAAAACTGTTTGGGCCTTGATTCCCAGGAGTTTTTGGACCTTGATTGTCAGGATTGTTTTGACTTTGATTTCCTTGTCCTAGTAACATCAAATTGATGAGAGGATGCTTTGCGGGTGATGGAGTACTATCTTGCCAAGTCATTTTCCTCTGCATCAAATATTAAATAATTTGGATGCTGTGGAAGAGGAGGTTAAAGATGATGTGCAGCTAACTACCCAAAAGAATTGTCAGATAACTAGAATAAAGAGTAATACAGGATAAAAGTTTTGGTATTTCAGAAAGAACAAAATATAATCAAAGAAACAAATTCAATACCTTATCAGGATTGCTAGGAACAATGCCATCAAATTGAATAGGACTTGATTTTCCTTTAGTGCTAGACCCAACTCCCTGTTGAAAACAAATCATAAATATAAAGTTTTTAAAAAATATATGGACAGTAATAGATATTTCTTGAATCGCCTAAGTGCTAATATTTTTCTTTTAAGAAAAACAAAGGAGAAAAGAAATGTTAATCACCAAAGATGCATATTCTGTCATACATACATGTCGGATTGGCAACTTTGCTTGTTGAAGTTGTCGAGGAATGTCATCATACAAATGAGAGTTATTTGATGCCACAACTTGATTCAACAATGCTTGGAATTCGAATCCTTGTGACCTTTAAAAGAAAAAAAAATTACTATATTTACATTTAAATTACCTCAAACTTAAAATTCTAATGAAAAATATATATAGTAAAGCTAAGACATAGCAATCCAAATGGGAATGGAATATGAATAATTTTGATTGTAATTGAAATTTTTATTTGTAATTACAATCTCATTAGAAAATAAAAAACAATCCTACAGAGAATGGATGATTTTGAGAAAGTTTTGAAGATAATAGAAAATAAGAGAATGGTAGTTCTAGCAAAGAACAAAACAAAAATATTGGGGGATCCAACTCCAAGATATAATTTAGTATTTTAAAAAAGAGAGTACTCAATTGCTCACACATTATACATTAACAGTTAAATGTGCTATTACTTGAAAAAGATATCCATTATTCAGCTTTGTATATAAAAATAAAATATGATTCATTCATAAAAGTTTATAAAATTAAACAAAAGAAGGTAAAGATTTTAATACCCTAATGCAGTAGCAGGTTCGGGTTTAGTAATCTGAGAAGAGGGCTGCCAATTAATCCAGTTTGTGCTCGCCAAAGAGGATCCACTCATCCAATTTCCTTGTTGTGTCTATGCAAATGAATGATAGAAAGGAAGGAAAGTGTTAGTGTCATTTATAATTATTTCCTCTACCTATTTCTAAAACTTCAAAATTCACATATAGATTATCATTTCCTATACTTATCTCCTCCTGTTGCGCCCCTACTATTCAAAAAAAGATAATAAAAGAAAAGAAAAGAAAATTTTTTTAATATTGCAATAATGAAAATTTGAACATATCACAAACGTATTTAAAAATATTGTCACATATGCATTAAGTTATAATTAAAAAGATCAGTAAATTAACGAAATTATGAAATTCGCACATGTCAATGACATAAATAAACATAAAATCCAAGTTATAAGTATTGTAATACCTTAATTGAGTTGTAAATAGAAGGCAAAGTTCCTGCTTGTTGCAAAGAAGGAGAAGTGAGTAGTGAATGGATTCTAGGGCTTGTTGCAGGACTGGTTCCAAAAATCTCTTCGTATCTGGCATTATATCACAAAGTTTAGCTTTCTTA